TCTGCCACTCCTGAACTTTTACTGAGTGCACTGGTTTTTGAATCCGTTCTCTGGGGCTCTGGAGTTCCTTCCGGCTACCTCAGGGAAGCAAGGGCGGGCCGGGCGAAAGGCCCACAAGCTCCCCTCCATCCAGACACGCTATGTTCATCTTTTCTTTTTTATCCTCACCCGAGGACAGTTTTGCATTTATCCTCAGATACAGCAGGAGGGAGAGAGGGAGGAAGAGAGAGAGAAACATCGATGTGAGAGACGCATCGAGTGGCTGCCACCCACACAACCCCAACCGGGACTGGGGACAAACTGCAACCGAGGTACGTGCCCTGAGCGGGAACCGAACCCAGGACTCTCTAGTCCGCGGGCCGACGCTCTAACCGCTGAGCCAAACTGGCCAGGGCCAGACACGCTGTGTTTATACACATTTTTACCTGCTCTGGGATAAGTGTATATATATTGGGACCCAGGTAAGAGGTTTTCAGATGGAGGCCTGCTCCTTTTCTTAATAAAGGTGTGGAACCATGAATCTAATGAGGCCCAAGGAAAACACTGTGTTGCAGGTGCAAGGAAGACATTAAAATCGGGATCACCAACTTGCTGATGTTCGTGAAGAGCATGAAAGGACTGGCGGGGATCCGGGATGCCGTGTGGGAATTACTTACCAACGAGTCCGCCAGTCACAGCTGGGACGTGATATGCCGGCGGCTTCTGGACAAGCCGCTCCTGTTCTGGGAGGACCTGATGCAACAACTGTTCCTGGACCGGTTACAGGTACCGTGGGCAGTCACGCGGTCTGTCGGTGTTATGGCCAGTCTGTCTGGGTTGACTCCTGTCACTTCCTAGGTGTCTTCTTTCCCTGCTGACTTACTCCAGGGAGTCCCATAGCATGCTTCTGGGGCGGGAGGTATGTCTCTTCTGTCAGGTGCTCGGGAAAGTGTGTGTCCATCACTGATGACTGTCCCCTGCCAACGTCAAGTCATCTTTCTGAGCCTGCTAGAGAACATTCGGAATGCTGGGGTAGATTGCCATGTGGTGCTGCTGTTTTGAGATTTCCTGGAAGGAACTGTGATTAGAACCCTCTTTTCATTCTGTCGTAGACGCTGACGAGAGAGGGCTTTGACTCCATCTCTGCTAGCTCCAGACAGCTCCTCATTGCCGCCCTGCAGGAGCTTGAAAACAGCACCAGCAAGTCCACTTCGAACAAGCACGTCCACTTTGAGCACAACATGTCTCTCTTCCTCTGGTCCGAGAGTCCCAGTGACCTGCCCTCCGACGCAGCCTGGGTCAGTGTGGCAAACCGGGCTCCGTGTGCCAGCAGTGGGCTCTCCATGAAAGCTCAAGCCATCAGCCCTTGTGTACAGAACTTCTGTGCTGCCCTAGATTCCAAACTGAAGGTCAAACTGGATGACCTGCTGGCTTACCTTCCCTCGGACGACTCGTCTCTGTCCAAGGACATGTCGCCCATGCAGGCCAAGAACTGTGCCTTCGACAGGTACACAGACGCTGAGACCGTGCAGGGGGTGCTGCGGGCGCACTCGGTGGCCTGCATCAAGCACATCATGGACTGCGTCCGGGCAGAGCTGCGGAGCATCGAGGAAGCCGTGCAAGGCCAGCAGGACGCCCTCAGCCGTGTCAAGCTGCATGCGGTCCTTTTCATGGCCAGACTCTGCCAGTCGCTGGGAGAGCTGTGTCCTCACCTGAAGCAGTGCATCCTGGGAAAATCTGGGAGCTCCGAGAAACCAGTGAGGGATTCTAAGGCTCTGAAGAAACAGGGCAAGGGGAACAGTGAGCAAGTCCTGCCTGTGCAGGCCCAGTGGCAGGAAGTTAAGGAGCTCCTCCTCCAGCAGAGTGTGGTCGGCTACCGGGTCTGGAGCTCGGCAGTGGTGCAGGTGAGTGACATGAACGCAGTCGTCCGTGCTCCCCGGGCCATCCTCCTGTCTCCCTGTTGTCGGAGTCCAGTCTTGCCAGCCTTGGTTAGGGAATAACAATTCTTTTTCGTACAATTACTTGCTTTCACTTGTCTCTGCTACATACAGCAAACGTCAGAACTCTTCCATTCACTTTTAACCTGGATTTTATAGACAGAAACCCTGGATTTTGGGGTTTTTTTTCCCCCTTCCATCTTTCTCTCTGGACAAGTATCTATATCTCCTAGTCTTCAACCTAAATATCATATTCCCTCTAGTCTCTGCTAGTGTCTTAAGAGCCGACATTTGTAGTTAGTAACAAAATTCCATTGCCAATATCAGTAACTAGCCAAGAGAAGAGTGGCATTTGCCATTTGCCATCCCACGTGTGACGGAAGCAGAAGCTGGTTTCAAGATTACTTGAGTCGTTTCAAACCAACTCTGAGTGGCCTCTGTGGGTATTTGCCTTTTGTTACCAGGTTCTGGCTCATGGATTTGCCCAGTCATTACTTTTAGGTGATGCTGGCTCCATCCTGGCCACGGCCACCAGCTGGGATGAACTAGAAATTCAGGAGGAAGCGGAGTCCGGCAGCAGCATCACATCCAAGATCCGACTCCCGATCCAGGTAGGCCAGTGCCAGCGTCAGCCGGGCTGGGACCCTGCCGCGGGGAGAGGAAAAAGGTTTTAGAAAATCATCGACTGACAGCTGCTGAGGGAGAGCTGCAGTGGTCAGAACTTTCTGCTGGTCGGAGGCAGAGTGGCCATGGGGCCGGTTTATAAATCGTTCGAGAAGTCAGTGAATGACTCTCTCCTTTTGGAGCGTGGGCTCTATGCTAATCGGAGAACCACTTACCTAAAGTGAAAACAGCAGCGTAGATCACAGTGCCACATGCCAGGCCAACGCCAGGCCACCAAGGGAATGACAGCAAATGTCACTCGTATCTGTTAACTGGCCTGCAAGAGGGGCTGAGTGGAGAGGGCAGTGTAGGCGTAAAGCCAGGATGAAAGGATCCATGTTTACTGCGTCTCGTTTCGTCGGTGCAAGTTGGCCACTCGACACTCCTTTGTTGTTCCAGCCGTCGTGGTATGTACAGTCCTTCCTGTTTAGCCTGTGCCAGGAAATTAACCGGGTTGGAGGCCAGGCCTTGCCCAAAGTGACGCTGCAGGAGATGCTGAAAAGCTGCATGGCTCAAATAGTCGCCGCCTATGAGAAACTCTCTGAAGAAACACAGGTGGGTGTTAGAAGTGTCCTCCATTAAACACCAGATAAACTTGACTGGTTCTTGGGTCTGGACAGTGCACGGCGAGGCCTCTGGGTGTTGCGGGTCACTGAGCCCAGGCTGTTAGCCTCTGCGAGTCCGATCACACCCCTTCGCGGGTCAGGCAGGTCTCCGTGGAAGGCAGTTGAGTCCAGTGGGAGGAGGAGAGCCTCTGGGTGACAAAGACCCTTCCCAGCCCGGCCCAGCCACACTCCCCGGGCGGGGCAACTCATTCATGTCTATTTCCTCAGGGTCCAGTGTGGTCAGAAACTGCTCGGGGGCTGGAGCAAGGGGGGAGGGTCACACAGCACAGGCGGTGGCCAGGACTCATTTGAGATCCTTGTCTCCCCACCTCTTCTGTCACCCTGTGTGTCCCCATTTCATTAGTAAACTTCAGACAGGGCCACCTCCGTTTGGGGAAGAGGCCAGCTGTCTCCTCTCCCGAGCGTCCTCACAGTGCCCTGCACGCAGGAGCTCTGCCCTGCAAGTCACCAGCGCCAGCATCCGAGACCGTCCTGAGGGCTGGGTCTCCCCTGCTATCAGGGCTCTTCCTCTCAGTGCCCTGCACGCAGGAGCTCTGCCCTGCAGGTCACCATCGCCAGCATCCGAGACCGTCCTGAGGGCTGGGTCTCCCCTGCTCTCAGGGCTCTTAGTTTGAAGACCCTGGTCTAACCTGCTGTGCTGTGAGACGCAGCCAGCCACGTGAGTGTAGAGCGTCTGCTTCTGAAATAACGAGCTGCGCCTCAAGCAAACCACGAAGCTGTTTATTACGCTCATAAGTCTCCCTTAATGGCTGGGCCGGGGAATTCATCTGCAGAAAGAAGGTGCATTTCCGATGACCCAGAATCGGGCACTGCAGCTGCTGTATGACCTGCGCTACCTCCACATGGTTCTCACAGCCAAGGGTGAAGAAGTGAAAAGCGGCCGCGGCAAACAAGACTCCAGGTAGCCTCCCCCGGGCTCTCCAGTACGTCTCCCAAATGCAGATAGTCCCTTTGCTGGGGAGCCACCCAAGAGTCAGCCTGACTGCACGGGAGTTGTGTTTGTTTTAAACAGTAAGTGCTCCTATTACCAGTAAGATAAATAATGACCACCTGCTGGAGAAATTCCATGGTCAAACGTAGTAAGTGGAATCTCATTCCTCTTGAGTCAGCCTACCAACTGGTGGGTATAATTTGAGCCTCAAGTGCCCTCCCTAAAAACACGGGGAAAGAAGACTTGGTGCAGACATCACACCAGCTTAGGGTGACTTGAGCACGATGAGCAGTAACAAGTGGCACTAAGCCGGCAATTAAGGCCAGTAAACCCAGTCCCAGGATTCCTATGGCATTCAAATACCGCAAGGTGGGTTTTGGCCTAAAAAAATGTGGAGAATAATCATCCTAGTCCTTTTTTCAGAATTGAGAAAGTGGCCGACTACTTGGAAGCACTCATTGACCCATTTGATCTGGACGTTTTCACACCACACCTCAACAGCAACCTCAGCCGCCTGGTGCAGCGAACTTCAGTAGGTCAAGTCCCTGTGCGGATAAGCCCGCTCGCCCCGGGCTCCCAGAGGCAGTACTAGGAGCGGTGGGACACACGTGGCTGAGCTGAAGTATAAAGACTAAAAGAGGGTTCGGTTAGATCTCACCGCTGAGGCAGCCATGATCTGACCCCTTCAGTTGTATATAAGGGTTATTCAGGCTCTATCAAGGCCCCAGAAAGAGGAATAAAAGAGCCTTGTGACTGAGATTCTGACAGGTGGTAATTTTCAAGCATCAACACACTGAAAAGAACATTCTGCACAAGGGTGGTTAGAAACAGCAGTGAGAGATTCCTAACAGCAGCATTTTTCTTTTAACTGGCCTGGCATGTCTTTATACCCTCTTTCTTGTCTGTCAGGTTCTGTTTGGACTGGTTACTGGTACAGAGAATCAGCTCACCCCCAGGAGCAGTGCATTCAACTCCCAAGAACCCCATAACATACTGCCACTGGCATCCAGTCAGATCAGGTAACAATTCTACGAGGCTGCTGGGGGCCCCGCAGCTTCCTGTACACGCTACTGAAATCCCTCTGTCTTGTCTTGGAGGTTTGGACTTCTTCCACTGAGCATGACGAGCACGCGAAAGGCCAAATCAACCAGCAGAAGCATCGAATCAAAAGCCCAGGTTAGTGCAGAAATCAAGAGGTTCATCCCTGTTGATCCTGTCCCATCTCCCACCAAACCACCCAATCAGCTCCCCTTGAAAGAATCAATAAAGAACTGAATGACAAAATGCACTAATGCTGCTTTTAATGGCGGCACATTATAGAAGTACAAGGTTTTACTAGCTTGAGCTGATAGGTTTAAAAGATGCCCATTTACACTATCAAGAAGCCTCATAACAGAAATGGGTCTCAGGCTGCCAAGGCTGTAGAAAGTATGCAGGACAGGATGTTGTTACTCCTTGGTTTTTGTAGGATAAGAGAGAACCGCTAACCCAGCACTATCATCATACTTATTTGAAAAAGAATTGATTTGTTTTGGTGATGGTTTCATCTTCCATTTATTTTACTTGGGTGGTAAATAAAAGGAAATTTCTTTCTCGAGTTTTACATTTTCTTGTTAACACGTTTTGTTTAGTCGGCTGCCTCCACTAGCCTGCAGGTGGAGTCCTGAGTATTTCTGCATTGTGTTGTATACGTGTGGTTTGAGCTCAAATGCTGGCTTCTTACAGCATTTAGTTGTCTGCTTTATTGCTAGACAAGATCTTAGCAATGAATCCTTCCCATGTTCCCTGCCATCAAACCCACTGAGATCCAAAATCTTTTGTCAAACGTGTTTTTAAAACTCGGAAGATGGTAGTAAAAAAATTCTCGCACAAACCGCCCACTCTGTAAGCAGTGGCTTGCGCAGCAACCTCCCCTCACAATTCTACATTCTGCTTCAAGTCACTGACCCTTCAGTCCCGTCTGTAGCAGAGGAGCAGCCCATGGAAAGGTGCTCATCCTTTCCCTCTAGTAGCTCCATCTTCGGCTCTACTTGTCCCCATGTCCTTTTCCAGCCCCCTCGACCAGAGCCTCCGTGCTCCTCAGGCCTGCTGCGTGCTGCGTGCACTCGCTGGGCGTGGGAGTGGACGGGAGGCTGTGGGCAGGCAGGAGGGTCTGCTGGACGCTAAGGCACTTTCCTCTCCACGCAACGGCAGGTGGTCCCCCCGGCCCCCTCCCGAGCAGATGACCCAGCACATCCTGGCTCCTTATTCAGACAGCTTGTCAGTGAGGAAGAAGACTCATCTACACCTTCATTATTCAAACTTGGTTGGCTCTCTAATATGACTAAATAACATGGGGACATAGCCGTCTCTCCAAATAAATACTACTGCATCATTTCAGCTAAAGGTGCCTCTGCTCATTTGTTGCTAAGCCGTGCCAGTCTCCAGTTTCAGTGGTGGAACGTGGCCCCTACTTACTGTTAGGGGGTTACTTTAAGCGTAAACTGAGTCCTTGGCCAACAGTCCCACAGCACTTGTGACTTTAGACTTCAGTTCAGATAACTTACACTTTTCAGCATTCAACAAGGCCTTCGTTCTCAACACTACGAGGTGGGGTTATCAGTGAGATCACATAAACTGCCAACAGAGCGAGTCTGTGAGCAAGACAACAAATCGTTATGTATTTGACTGTCGGAGCTGCAGTGTTTCCTGCCAAGTCTGAGATGTAGGCTCTCGAGCAGTAACGGTGACAGGTTATCTGGGTATACAAGAGTCTGAGAGACATTCTCTCTGGAAATACAAATACATAACAAAGAGAGGACACGGTTATTAGGGAGGGTGCTTTGCTTACACAGTCTCACTTGGATCTGACTGTTCTGTACAAAGGAGAGTATTTTCAACAGGACATCTACATACTAAGAGGTAGTATGGCAATTTCAGTGCAAGACTGAATCAAGGTCTATATTTTGGGAAAAAAATGTATGTTTTTTCATGGAAACTATATACTCTTTACTAGTTTATTGAATTTAAAAAATTGAAGATCCCGCATTTTTAAAAGGCCTTTTTACATAAAGTAGAATTGCTAATTGACAGATTTGGAAATCAGTCTGAATTGGACAAACTATGGATTCAACACGCAGATGAGATTACCTCATACCATTACCGTGACATGGATCTGATACCCACCCTCAAAAGAATCCTATAAAAAATTGCTTCAAAGCCCCTTTAAAATTGCAATAGTGCAGCAAAACCACAAGTAAACAACTGCCTGTTAACCTGTTATTTCAAATATAGACTGAAAAGGCAACAGGCATTTTTTGTGTGCAATTTTTTTAAAACACCGTAAGATGAAATATCAAATCTGCACAGCACTGTCCCTTCACAGAAGGCAAGAAAGCGCCAGCCCGTCATGTCGGCGGCCGTCCTCGGTGCTGCAGGCTATGAAAGTGGGCCTCCTTCAGGGTTTGGTTGATGAGGAAGTAAGGGCCTTGGCATAGTGCGGACTGCTCGGGCACGGGCTGAGGGGTGTTGGGGCTGGACCCGGTGACGATGTGGTTTAAGCTGCTTTCTGGCCCGCTGGCCCTGTCCGGGCTGTTGATGCTGCTGCTGCTGCTGCTCCCGCCACTGTCGCTGCTTGAAGACTGGAAAGAAAAAGGAACAGTTCCACGATTAGGCTGTTTTTTCTTAGGAACTTGACTGTGGTTTAATTTACAGTATAGCATTTAAGAATATTCTTCCTACCCAGCATCAAAACATACTGGGCTTAACAGTGTATTTAGTTCATTCTTGCCCTGGCCGGTATGGCTCAGTGGTTAGAGTGTTGGCCCACACACGGAAGGGTCATGGGTTCGATTCCTGGTCGAGGGTACGTACCTGGGTTGCAGGTTTGATCCCCGGCCCTGGTCAGGGCACATACAGGAGGCAACCAGTTGATGTTTCTCTCTCTCTTTCTCTCCCCTTAACTCCCCTTTCATTCTCTAAAAATATCAATGGAAAAAATATCCTTGGGTGAGGATTAACAAAATGTGTGTGCGGTGTGTATTTTAAGATATTTTACTTTATCCTCACAACTACCCTGTAAAGCCGAGTGGGGTCACTGTCCCCATTACACACCCCTAAGAAGTGGCAGGGTCCAGATTCAGGCACAGGCCTTCTACGGCGAATCCCTTCAACGACATCTTGACTCCTCTACGTGTCTCCTCTAGCCGCTTGGCATTCATTCCAATAATTTCCAATGATCAAAGGAAGAATTTGGCAGCCCGTAAAGGACAGTGTCATCCGGTACAGGGTATAAGAAAGGTGTTCTCGTAACAAATAAGATGACTTCTGGGCATAAGTTAAAAAGTAAAACCCTGTGATAATTCTGTGGTTATCTGTTCCATGGACATGAAGTGGTAGTCTCTGAACGCAGAACACATATCCTGAGACTCACCCTTCTTACAAGATCGCATTAGCCTTTCTGCAGTTCGATGTGTACGTACGCAGGTGTACATGAACCTAATTTTTTAATGTAACGAATGTGACTTGGTGTCTTAGTCATCTTGAAGAAGCTGCTGAGATCCCCAACAAAAGTCATTCAGAAACTTTTATTCCAACAGTAGGAATCTCGAGAAGGCAATGGTAAGGTTCCTTCCAGAATTATGGTTCTGTACCATTTTAATATTGCATTTCTAATAAATGACAGCCCCAATCACTTGACCAGCACTCCTCTCTAACTACAACCCAATAATCAATACATGAGAAAGCTAGAATTCTAGTAATTAATGATTTGGTATAAATTTTTAAAAACTCACTAGCCCTTTGATACATCTAAATTTATATTCCCTCAGACAAAGATAATTGGTTTTAAAACATCTGCTTACAACAATGTAAAATTTACACATAAGAAAAAAGACTGGACAGAACAGCCCACAGTAGTTATGTTAAAATAGAGAGATTATAGATGCTTATTTTTTTCTGCCCTTTACTATAAAATTTTTGCAATGTGATTATTATACATATTTGCATTATCAAAATAAATGTATAGAGGGGGTCAATGGGGGAGGAAGGGAGTCATCTGTAATACTTTCAACAATAAAAAATAAAAATAAAGGTATAAATAAAATAAAATGTTGTTTCAAGATAGATACTTTTAAATTGATTTTTAAAATACCAGAAGTTACACCTTCCGATACATATATTATAACCCACATGGCTATATGGGAATCACAAGTCCTTTTACAGAAATTACAGTTGTAACAGCTAAAGGGACATTGAGCTGAGATAAGTAACTTTGATTCTACTACTTAAAAATATGTATGTACGGAAACGTGCCTGGAACGGCAAAGAAAGCATGTTCACAAAAGGCATCCATCATTAATAAGGCTTAAACCAGGAACTGTCACGGTCCATGGGTCATCTAGAGCTACTTAACATAGGTCACGCATCCTTTGCCTGTAAGTGGTAGTAGGAGACAAGCTAGCTACCTTTCCACAATTAAAAAAATTCACGAAAGCATTATAAATGGGCTGAGTGGCATCAGATGGCAGGGTTAGCAGCAACAATTACATTCACTCAAAAGCAGGACGTTAAAGTCAATTCAAAAACAAAACTTGCTTTCCATAGAAGCCTCTCCTGATCTAGAGGAACAACCTAGAACTGCTGCTGGCACACCTGGCGAGGTCGTGAATGTTTAACGAGCAGGTACTACACTGGGTAAGAAACCCACCGCGCAGAACACTCTGTTTCCTCTCAGTCTGCTTTCTTTGTTTTTCGTTACAGGTACTGTCTGAAAATTAAGGCAAGAACTCGAATCAGTTTCTAATAAGTCAAGTTTCCATCTCAAATTATAAATATATTTCACAATATAACAGCAAAGGTTACACCATTCTGAGAAGAGTGAAAAGGTCTTTAAAATAAACAGGTTAGAAGAGATCTGTACAATAACCATAAAAACGGGAGGGGGACACAAATATACCAGCAATTTCTAGTCCATTTGAGACATCTTGTAACTTTTATAGACACGTATAAAAATGTTTAGTGTGGCCTTGTTTATAACAGCTAAAAACTACAAACAACCAAAATGTCTAATAGAGAAATTGGTTAAATTATAATACATGTATCTAAAGTATAATACATGAATTATAATTCATAACATTGAAATTCTATTCAGCTATTAACAATGAGTGACACACACACACACACACACACACACACACACACAGATAGAAGCCCTTAACGTATTTTTCACAGGTACAAAACAGTATATATAATATGTCAGCTGTTTTAAAATGTTTTTCTTTAATGTGGACCTATATGCATACCAAAAACAATCTGGAAGGATATATGTGCCAAAATATTTAGAATTTGGACCTGCTAAGTTTTTTAATATCTTTATTTTCTATAGCTTCTATAAAGAAAAAAAGATTTCTCTTGTGGAAAAAATGATCATAAGTAAGAATACTACTACAAAATAGAAGTCTTCAGTTATTTCTATCTTCAAGACTGAGACTTAAGTATATTTTTTAAAAAACAACGTATATATATCTCAATACCGCCCCTGGGGTTTTAGGAAGACCCTTGACCGCTGCCGCAGTTATATTCACTTGCACTGAGGAGGCCAAAGACACTCTGAGACTCATACGGGCCAGTCATGTAGAACCCAGAGGGACCTGGACTTGTCAGCTATGTACTGCTATCATCACAGGCAGAAACCATGCCTCTGTTTCAAGATACTTTGGCTCTGTTTTCTGCCAGTTCAAGTCTCCTCGCTGTCGCGTAGGCTTAGGGTACCTCACAGAGATGGACCAGTGTTTTTCAAATGGAAGGTGAAACCCATTTGGTGGGGAGCAACCATTACAAAAAGAAGCCAGAGTACAACATGGTAAGGGTAATTGTTCTATGAAACTTTTCTTCAATTACTCGCAAATATATTTGGTATGTACTGGTCACAAAATAAAACATGTCTATGAGACAGGGTCAAAAATGTTTGAGAGTTATTGTAGTTGATCTTATTAACACTGTCAGCCATCAAAGTGGGCTATTTTACAGGGTAAAGAACATACTTACTTTTAACTCTAAAGGCATAAATTCCATTTTTAACTCTCTATCACTGCTTTAACACACACAGAGAAGTAAATAGTTTTGTCTTATAAAAAACTTCAAATAGCCCTAGCCGGTTTGGCTCAGCGGTTAGAGTGTCCACCTGCGGTGCAGACAGACCCGGGTTCGGTTCCCGCTAAGGGCATGTACCTCGGTTGCAGTTTGTCCCCGGCCCTGGTTGGTCGTGCGGGTGGCAGCCACTCAATGTGTCCCTTTCATGTCAATGTGTTTCTCTCTCTCTATCTCTTTCTCTCTCTCTCTCTCTCTCTCTCTTCCTCTCCCTCCCTCCCACTGTATCCGAACAAAAAATGGAAAAATGTCCTCCAGTGAGGATAAGGAAAAAAAAAAACAACCTCAAATAGGAAAAAAATTGTATCTTCCCCACTGAATAGAACATTTTTGTATCAAATCCTTGGGGGGGGGGCTGTGTGATTGCATGACTTCCAGACTTGGTACAGAAATGTCTACCTTGTTACTATTTCTGTTTTTAAAGACCTGAGCAAGTTCTGTTTCTGCAAGAGTCTAGAAACGTGGGGACTGAGAAAGATTCATGAAACAGGAACCCTATCCCCAGGCTCCCAGTTCCTTACAAAGACTCCGCATCAGACAGGTGATCCAAATCCAGTTACAAAGCACATTTCTTATCTCTGAATTTTCAATTTGGGCTGAGTGCTAACCTGACCAAGGTATTTTCTTTTTTAATTTTTTTTCTTTACTGATTTCAGAGAGAGAAGAAGGGAGAGGGGGAGAGAGAGAACATTGAATGGCCGCCTCCTGCATCCTCCCGAGACTGGGATTTAGCCCACAGCCTGGGCATGTGCCCTGACCGGGAATCAAACTGGCGACCTCTTGGTGCATGAGTCGGTGCTCAACCACTGAGCCACACCAGCCGGGATGACCAGGGTATTTTCATTACAACTTTATATTGCCAATCAAAAGAGAGTAAGGTCATGATCTGTGATTTAAAAAAAACAACAACAAACACCCTTGCAAATCCAGGTAAACAAGCACAATACGGTTAAATTTATGAAGATGCGGATGGAGTCTCTCTAAATACACAAAGGCAGCTCACTGGACTCCCGTGCTGAAGATCTGTGTGAAAAGGGAGGACTCTAAGCTCAGGCAGCAATGAAATCTGCCTGTGTACCCTGGTAACTGCAGATGCCTGGATAAGACCCAGAGGAATGCAGTCATTTTAGAATTGCCTGCGGGCTTTTAAACAGTGTGCCTGCCAGGGCCCCACCTCAGGAAAACCTGGCTCAAGTAGTCACAGGTTCTTCCGATGTCCAACCACCGTCCAAACAAATGTGTGTGTGTGTGTCTGTGTACCGGGAGGCACTCCACTAGGGCTCCCCAGTTATTTATTTACTGAGCTTCATCAAGAATATGGTAGTACCCTGGCAGGTCTGGCTCAGCGGTTAGAGCATCAGCCCTTGGACCAAAGAGTCGCAGGTTCGATTCTGGTCAGGGGCACGTAACCTTGCTTGCAGTTCGGTCCCTGGCCCTGGTTGGGGTCATTCAGGAAGCAGTCAAGTGATGTGTCTCTCTCACATCGATGTTTCTCTCTCTCTCTCTCTCTCCCCCTTCTACTCTATCTGAAATACAGTGATACCTCGGTTCTCGAACGCCTCGGTTTTCGACCAAATCAGGATTCGAGAAACTTTTGTCTCGGAATCCGAACAAATATTTGGAACTCGAACTTCCGAGTTGAGCCGAATGGCGTTCATTCGGCCCAGCGCGCCTTGCTTGCGTCATCAGTGTGAGTGCAGAGAGAGAGTCACGCTTTGTGGAGTCCGCTTTCCTATTGGGTTTCATTGCTTCGGTTCTCGAACAATTCGGTTCTCGACCATCCTCCTGGAACGAATTATGTTCGAGAACCGAGGTATCACTGTAAATGGAAAAATATCCTTGAGGATTTAAAAAAAAAAAAAGAATATGGTGGCAATGCAGCCACTGATAAGGACAGTACACAGCCACTGCGGTGACAGGAATATAGCAACAGACTATGTGGATGTGGGAGCTGGAGAGATGCTCCGTAAAATGGATAGTGTCTGAACCGGGCCTGGAGGATGAGGAAGGACCTTTACTAGGAGGGAGTGACAACACTGGGAGAACAAGCAGAATCTGAGGAGTGGCAGAGGGAGGCCAAGGCAAAGGTGCGCCGTGGCTGCACCTGCTCCAGGGAGTGCTGGTGAGACAAGACCTACGAGGGTCATGGCTGGACTGAGTGCCCAGAGTCTGCAGGGACAGTTTCCAGGCATGTAAGACCCGTTCAGATCTGTACCTTAGGAGTGAGGACGCTAGGGATCTGCTGAGATGACGGAGGTCGTGGAGACTGAGCAGAGGCCGACGGGGAAGTTATCTAGAACGTCAAGCAGGAGAGCAGGCCAGCGTGAGGAAAGTGGCAATGTCAATGAAGGGTATGTGCCACCCCCAGGGGGAGATGGCAGGGATTCAGGAAGGAAATACGGACATCCAAGTTGATACCAAACATGGGGACAATGTTTGCTAAATACAGTTGACCCATGAACAACACGGGGGTTAGGGGCACTGACTCCCACTGCAGTTAAAAATCCACATGTAGCCCTGGCCGGTTTGGCTCAGCGGTTAGAGTGTTGGCCTACGGTCCAGAGAGACCCAGGTTTGGTTCCCACTAAGGGTGCATACCTCAGTTGCAGTTTGTCCCCAGCTCTGGTTGGGTTGTGCGGGTGGCAGCCACTCAATATGTTCCTTTCATGTCAATGTTTCTCTCTCTCTCTCTCTCTCTCTCTCACTTCCTCTCTCCCCCTCCTGCTCTATAGGAACAAGAAATGGAAGAATGTCTTCAGATGAGGAAAAAAAAAAAATCCGCATATAACTTCTGACTCCACCAAAACTTAACTACTAATAGCCACTGGTGACCAGAGTACCAATTACATAAACAGTCAATTAACACATATTTTGTATGTTATGTTGTATACTGTACTTGTAGAGAGTAAGCTAAGCTAAAGAAAAGATATTATTAAGAAAATCATAAGGCCCTGACCGGTGTGGCTCAGTGATTGGAGTGTCAGCCCTCGTACTGAAGGGTCTCAGGTTCGATTCCCCGTCAAGGGCACATACCCAGGTTGCAGGTTCAATCCCCAGTCAGGGCATGTATGGGAGGCAACCAATTGATGTTTCTTTCTCTTTCTCTCTCTCTAAAATGAAAATAAGATAAGCTGAAGGTAAAGAGCATTACTCCTACAAGATTCAACCCAAAAAGGCCAGTTCCTAGAACAAATTTATACATCTAGCTAGTTTTTACCCAACCAAATCATTGTCCAAGATCAGGGAATGTCGCTACCATTGTACAGGACCCAAAAGGAAGACACAAATAGATAAACCATTTCACTTCTCGCTCACCAAGAGAAAACCAAGCCTGGCTTAGACAGTAAGTAATACAATTATACAGAACGGCTTTACCAAAAATTTTTCTTCCTCTACTAGTAATTCTATCACAACTTAAAAAATAGCACCCTAAGGCTCAGAAGTCATTAAATCTAAGTCACGAAAGTTAAAATTCAAGATGTTCAAGTCAAATACCAATTATATTTTCGAAAAAAGAAAAGAAAGAAAACAAAATACACTAGACCCCAAAGTCTTCACTTTTGCCAGGCAGAAATCACAAATGGCCTCCTAGCTACACCACAGCGCTGACTTGGACAAGTACTTCCCAGCCAGCCTGTGTCTGTGACTGCAGAGCAGCGCAGGCCCTTGCTGCCCCTGGAGAGCCAGCACAGTCGCCCAGAACCCGTCTTCCGGGAGACAGCACACACCCCGGCGAGGAGCACGCTGCTCAGTAGTCATGCTCCGGGCTCGCTGACCCTGCCTCTCTTGCTAACTGCGAATCTTTGGGCAAGTGACTTTATTTCTCAGTGTCCCAATGTCCCCCCATCTGAGAGGTAGAAATAATACCTGCTACAGTGACAGGAAGAAAATGCACAGAGTACACGTTTCTTTCTACATAACTCATCTGGGAAGTCAGTGCACGTTCTTTAGCTTCATGGTGTCTAGGAACTAAGGCATGTACCAGCTCCATTTTTCAGGGAATTCTGACTTTCTTGTGGCACAGATTAATAATTTAACAGAAATCAAGCACCTCACATCTTCCTTTTCAGTACTTGCCAATGTTACATTTCAGAGAAAAAGATAAATTTCGGGAATTTTAAATCTCTCTTAGAATTAAAAAGAAGTTTCTTCCAAATGAAAGTTCTTCAAGTTATGAGAACAGGAACTCTTAGCTTATTTGAGTATTTCAGGAAAGACAAACGGAACAGTTTCTCTTAACTGAGTTAGTCTTAAGGAAATTTACCTCTGCCCTACCTCAGAATTAAGAGGTAACATTTTCATGAATAAGCATTTGTTATATAAATTAATAAAAATCCATTTAGCCCTGGCCGTTTTGCTCAGCGGTTAGAGCGTTGGCCCGCGGACCAGAGAGACCCGGGTTCGGTTCCCGCTAAGGGCGGTTCCCACTAAGGGCATGTACCTCGGTTGCAGTTTGTCCCCGGCCCCGGTTGGGGTCATGAGGGTGGCAACCGGTCGATGTGTCTCTCTCACATTGATGTTTCTCTCTCCCTCCCGCTCTATCTGAAGATAAATGCAAAAATGTCCTTGGGTGAGGATAAAAAAAAAAAAAAAAATCCATTTATAATGAATAATTTTACCATTTTCCCTTTTATACACAATTGTCAAAAAGCAGCTAAATGCCCCTAAACTTGCTCTTTTTGTGTTATAAGCATACTGATCTACTCCAGTGGTGACGATTCAATTATTCAGGGCTTAACTTTCCATTTTAAAGACTTTCCCCTGCCTTTTGCTTCTCTAGCTCTCCCTGGGTTCACTGGGCCTCATTACTTGTTAATACCACCACTGGGGAAGCACAGTACCACTGGCTACTCGCCCAGATGGCTGGTAAAGGTTCAGCCCGCACAGCTGAAACAGGGGGTCACGACCGCCCATAAGGGCTACTGGTGAGTTGAGATACCCTGACAGATAAAGAGTAGCTAACTGACCGTAAATTATAACGAGGACAATCTAGTCCATCCCCAGACTAATGATTTACAGAGTGGTTTAACCACCAAATTTCTTTGGACAAAGAAAAACAAGACATACGAACCTATAGGTAGAATAACAACACACCGTTTTCAATACACAGGTTTTAGAAAGGGAGGGAAGGTCATTTTCTACAAACAGCAATTAAAACAAAACAAAAACTAATCCTAAGGAGTTTTACTAAAAATAAGAGAAGAAATGTTTAATTTTTTAAAATATGACAATTTATATTCCTGTTCTCAGGCATCAAAAATGTAGATATGGGGGAAAGAGACCAATACAAAGAGACCTACTACTATGCCTTCAAACGAATGTGAATATCATATAGCTAATTTACTTGCAGATAGATACAAGTAAAAAAATATTCATGCTGACACCATGAAAGTAATCACTGCATACTCTTTTAAGGAATAGCCTTATAATTCAAAGGAATAATGGAGATTCGATTAGCGTTACAGTTTTATCATCAGATGTTCATGGTAGCCTCTAATGTCTGGTTTTCTTTCATCTATGAGATTTCCCAATTACCACATTAAACAAAGTTCAATAACTTTTCTGTTAATCCTCTTTTTTTTAAAAAAAGAGTATAATAGGAAAATTTTAAAAAAGGGATAAAAGCTATAGAAACTCAAGTCTCTGAAGAAAAGGATCAAGCTACACTTTTTATTAACTGTTCCTGAATGACTCTTAACCACATGAGATTTACTGATCCCCACCCCTGGGGGGAGTTACTTTGGATTTCTGGTAAAGACTGGATACAGGTCAAGTCCTACTATCAAGAACTAATTAAACTGCAAATTATCTGATTCTGCAAGAATTGTGATATATAGAATTCTGCTTGAAGTTATGAGGCTCAGGAATCATGCCATTGAGGAGTTTCCCTGTTAGGGTGGTAACTATTAATTAAGGGTGTAAATCTTTTTCTTTCTCTTTTTTTTATCCTCACCCAAGGACATTTTTGCATTTATCTTTAGATAGTAGAAGGGAGAGAGGGTGGAAAGAGAGAGACAGAAACATCGATGTGAGAGAGACACACTGACTGGCAGCCACCCACATGATTCCAACCAGGGCCAGGGACAAACTGCAACCGAGGTACGTGCCCTTAGTGGGAACCGAACCCAGGTCTCTCTGGTCCACGGGCCGATGCTCTAACCACTGAGAACCCGGCCAGGGCAAGGGTGTAAATCTTTACACACCTAATTTGACAGTAGCATCACTTTAATGTGAGCGTCCTTCTGCACTGTGGCTCAGCCTTCCGAGGGCATTTCTCCCCACTATACAGAGGAAGCACTCTCTGGAAGCCAAGACTTTGGGAGCTCCTTCTCCCTCTCTACTCTCTCCCCACTACTCTGCCTCCCACAGCAGCTCTTTTTGAACAACACAATGAAAAGGTAAAAACACTGAAAATCAGGACTCTGCATCCGTATACATTATATGGTCTTAAAGATATGTGAATTGAAGCAACAAAATACACTTGCCTTAAAGATAATAATGGTTCATAAACTATTAGAAAATAAGTTGGTTTCTGAAATATCAAATGGGGGGGTCAAAGAAGGGCTTGCAAAGGTTCATGAAACCTCTGACAAATACAAGTCTGGGAGGGGGGTATGAATGACGAGTGCAGACAGACTGCCTTGTGGGGGGAGGGTGCAGAGCTTCCTCGAAGGAGCCATGGCTCAAGAAAAGGTCGGAACACTGCAATCAAGTAGATGACTTTTAAATAATTTTGATGTTGTTTTCTTTATTGGTTTTTAGAGAGAGCGAGCAAGGGAGAGGGAGAGAGAGAGAGAGAGATAGAAACATCGATGAGAGGGAACATCGACTGGCCACCTCCTGCACGCCCCCCACTGGGGATCGGGCCCACAACCTGGGCATGTGCCCTGACTGGGAATCGAACCGGTGACCTCTTGGTGCAGGGGTCGGAGCTCAACCACTAAGCCACACCAGCTGGGCAGCTCAAGTTATTCAAAGAATAACTTCCATTACATGGAAGAAACTGGGTTATTTAGCTCAAGCAGTGAAAACGGCAGAGACTCTGACCACAGTTCCTACCTCTGTGTCCCAGGAATCGTGAAAGACAGGGTTTCTACTACTCCTTTTGGTCTGGGGGGGAAGATGGTGGTCTTCTTCATTGCCATTCCTTCTCCTTTTCCTGAAATTAAGTCACAAAGAGGAAAAACAAATTCAAAAATTCATCTTTCGCACGCTTACAATTGTAAACCATGACAACATATCAATTTGCCCTCTTGCCTGAGAAAATTTAATTCATCATATGATATCCCAATAGGTTAAAATTGGAAGTACACCATCACCACACAAAGAGCAAAAACATAAAATAGCAGCAGTGAGGTCAAGCTTAAATTAGGGTCACTAATTTGAAAAAGCAGCTCGACAGTTTCCAGCGCCTACTGTGAATAAATAAGAGCAAGAAGATGGTAATGACTGCGCTTTCAAACTCCACCTAATCAAAGTTATCATCTCCACCTTTCCTGAAATTACAGCCTCGTTACTTAACTTTACTCCCTTCCCTATGACAACACCTAAGATGGGAATGGCTGCCTTTGCCTAGTTTATGTTTAAAATCCATATGAAAATGGTGCTACACAGGAATAATCGTAGAGGTTCGTGGCAGCCACTGATCTTTAGTTTTTCATTACTGATTTTCTCCCAATTGTCCCATTAAACAAAAGCTCTATGCCCTCTAAAGTATTTCTTAAAAGATTTTTTTTATCCTCACCCAAGGACATTTTTGCATTTATCTTCCAATAAAGTGGGAGGGAGAGAGGGAGGGAGAGGAAGAAACATCGATGTGAGACACATCGAGTGGCTGCCACCCACACAACCCCAACCGGGGCCGGGGACAAACTGCAACCGAGGTACGTGCCCATAGCGGGAACCGAACCCGGGACTCTCTGGTCCATGGGGCGACGCTCTAACCGCTAAGCCAAACCGGCCAGGGCTTAATTAAATTGATTTTTAGAGAAAGCAAAACTCTCTCTGGAAAAACTGCTCTTGGACACAAAGTTGGTTGTTCTGGCGGCAGCACCGAGTGTCATGATATAAATTGCTTCACCAGATTGTGTCTTTGAGACTGTGGCACAAGCTGCTTAGAATGTACAGGTTGGAAAGAAAAACTGGGCCCCTTTCGCAGTCAAGTGTGCTCAGACGTGCATGGTCTCTATGCAAGAGTTAAGTGTTGTCAGAGGAACTTCGAAACCCCGGTTAGAAAACAGAAATAAATGATAGGAAGTATGATTTTAAATAAAATTGCCTGGAATGGTGCTGAGATCGCAGCCACTGCCACGTGTGGTTATTTAAATTAAAATTAATTACATTTAATTAAAAACCAGTCGCTTAGTCACACTGGGCACATTTCAGCCAGTGGCAGCGGCATGGAGCCGCAGGCACCAGAGGTTCCCACCACTGCAGCAAGCGCTACAGGACGATGCCGACTGGAGGCCAATTTCTACCAGCAGCATAATCTACAACAGTGAAACTCTTAACGGTTCAAGTCTTTAGAGCCAAAGGGAAAAACAGCTTTTTGGAAAGTAGTGAATTTGAGCATCTTAACAGTATCTTTATATGAGTAGGGTGGCTTATTGGGGCAGGACCTTAATCCTAAAGTTTTGAGTTGCGGTCTGGGTATTAAAAAAACTTGATCACCCTAAGCTCAATTCCTGTACTCTGCAACATTCTGAGTACATCTAACGTTATTAGTAAGTCTGGATCCAGTTTAGTCTTGTAAGGATAAATAGTGGGCGTGTGGTTCTGATAAAGTAGAACCAACCAGCCAGCAGAGGGCTATACATACCATTTATCTCATTCCTAGGCACAGCTGTTTGTAAAATAAGATTATCACTTTTGCTTCCTACCTTTCTCCCAGGAGATTAGATCATATGTACTCATTGCCTTGAAGTACTTGAGAGCTAAAAACTAGATGAATGCTAGGTTTTAATAATCATCACACAGATGTTATTATCCTAGATTTGAACCAAGAAATTGCTACTTTCATCCTAATATGACCAGAGAATGTTCATGGGAATACGAAGAAGCTACAGAGCAATGTCTAATGGAAGGCCAGTTGACACCCAAAGAGAAGCTCATGACATGGCATTATGTTGGTCCCCAAACTCCTCTTTTATCAGTGTGCCAACAGCTGATTGTGCTTTGGGCTGCTGAGTCACTCTTACCAAACTTAGGGGCCTGACTAAAACTTTCCAATTTCCTCATTTATAATGGGGAATATGTCTTCCCAGTGACAATATGAATGTCAAAGGAGGCTGAGAGGCAAAAAGAGTATAAGAACAGAGGATGAGCTGGTTTTGCAGATTTCAACTAAACTCTGGGAAGGTCACAAAAAATATCCCAGCCCAATAATCAGCTGATTACTCAAAGTACCAGAATTCTCTCTTTCTCCTGGTGGGGGGACCTCTCTTTGGGGTGGAACTGGATTAAGAATGAGCCCTACTTGTTTTTCAATTGATGTTTTTCTAGGCTCTTTGCATATTCTGTCCCTGAAACATTCTTCTTTTAACAATATCATTAATAATGAGCAAGATTAGAGCTTCATACTCAAGCCTATCCACACAATCAGTCAGATTATAGCTTTTAACAGTAATGCTGTTGACCAGGCTATAATTTTAGCAGCCACTCTGTAACTGATTATATTCTCCCTAGCTATCTAGTTACAGATTATTGCTTAGCATCTATTACTCCTAAGGATGACTGATTACATCACTTTTCATCATTTCACTTCTCTCCAATCTTCCTGTCATCTTCTAGAGATGTAGAGAATAGAACCTTTTCTTCCTGCCGAAAAATAAAAAATCCTCAATATATTAGTTAAAAGATCTGTCCTGGTTAAAGAAAAGGCTCCCTTGCCACACACCCACTCCTCTCTGGCCATCCCAGTATACCACCATCTCTGACCAACCTTCATCTTAAAATTGAGGGAAGGGAAGCAGAGAAGTGAAATAACGTGGAGATACCAAAATAGCTGGAGCTGGTAGAACTGGTCCATCGTGTACCATAAAACATGGGGTGAAGAGAAACGTAGGTAAGAAACCCATGCCCAAATCATACGACCTCTTTTATAATAATAAGTTACCAGTATAAACATGTTGACTTTATTTGTGTACTAGAGAAAAGGAATCTGCTACCAGTATAAACACAGAGTATTTGTGTACAGTGTTGGATAAAAGAAATCTTTCTGTAGAAAATATTTGGACTTTTTCAGGTATGTGAAACATCCCAAGAGACTATCAGAAAACTATAAACTGAGCTTGAGAAGGAAAAAAAATAGCAGTCAGATCAGGCTTATTGTACTGAAGGACTTTGTTACTAATTCCGACAACATACCAGTGGCGATTGGGCCCCTAATGTCAAATTTAGTCCACTCTTATTTTCTATATATAAGAGGCTTTACTCCTCACTCCACTGCATGACCCACATCAATAATCCTATGCAGAAGTTTGAAGAACCAGAGCTTTTCAATATTGGACCAAATAACCTCGGGAAGCTTCCCAAAATTTTAATTCCGTGAATTAACTCTCCTCCAGAGCAGGGTCCTCCGGGAAAGACTGTCAATTACATTCAGAGCCTATGAAAACACAGAACAAGAAGATAACACAGCACCATCCGTCAGGGCAATCCGACTGATGCACTAAAACCTCACTGAGACTACTGTGCAGTAAAGGAAAAAGCGCAGTGAACCAGGTGAATCAGCTGAGCTCTCCGAATTTGTTTCCTCCTCGGAGAAATGTACGAGCTGGACTTGGTGATCCATAGGTTTTCCACTTCCAGCTCCACGATGAGAGATTTTTGAAATACAGCGGGACCCTCTTCCTTCTGGGGTACCCAATCCCAACTTTCTCCTCTCCACACTGTTGCAGGGGTAACTAAGAAGAAAGACAGACCCGCAGCTTGGTCCGGACTCGACTCCAGTACATGTCAAACAAGCATAAAACCCCTAAACCCAGATCGGAGGCCCGGCTCCGCGGGGACGGAGTGCATCGCGACCTAACCCGACCGCCCTCCCTCTCGCCTTCGGAGTCAAACGGCTCCGCATCCAAACAGTTTAGAATCCGGCCAGTTCTAAGGGCTCCGGCCCGAGAGGCTCCACAGCCACTTGGGTCGGCTGCCCTTCCGTGTTCACAACCGCCCAGGGCCCAGTGTCTGCAGCCAACCTAATCCCTCCCGCTGCCGGGTTAAGCCCAATCCTTCCTTCTGACCTTGGGGAGCCGGCAGCTCCGCGCCCCGTCCCCTCACAGACGCACGGGGGACTCCCACTCGAAGATCAGACATTCCTCCCATCCCCCCACCTCCTAAATTTAGGGCAGGGACGCTTTAGGGCCAGCGTCTCTCTTCCGGGACCGACCAGACTTAATTCCAAACAGGAAAAGATGGGGTGGAGGAGAGATGGGGTTGGGGTGAGCCCTGGACCCTGGAGTCACTCCCCCAGGACCCTCAGGGAGCAGGTACCCCAGCACTCGCACATCCCGCTCCCCTCCTCCCCTGGACTACTGCACCCAGAGAAAAGATCCGCAGGGCCCACACTTGCTCGGACCCCGCTTCGTGCGCCCCTTCGACTCCATCCTCCAAGAAAGAGGGGAGGGGCTGGAAAGGAAAGGGGGTCCCTATGGTCTCACCTGGGGCGGAGGCGCTCGCTCATGGCAGCCGGTGGAGGGGAGCGACGCTGAGCTGCTCCGCGAGAAGACGGAACAGAGGGTGTTGTGTTTCGGCGGCCGCCACGCCCACCCCCTCGGGCCTTGGCTCTCGCCGCGGCTCGGGTGGACTCTGCCGGTGGTGAGTACCCCTCGGTGGGACCGGTACCACTACCACTTCCGGCGTCTGCTCCGCGCCCCCCCATGTCGCAGCCGCCGTGGTACCGCCCTCTCACGGCTGCGCAGTGACGCGTCCCGGCCGCGCCGACTGGTAACCCCGCCCACGGGAAGAGGCGGGCTTGGAGGGGGAGGAGCTACTGGGAACCTCTGGGAGAATAGGACCTCAATAGAGGCGGCTGGCGCTTTCGCCTGTTCGCAGCCTAACGGGGACAGTGTCAAAGTCAAGCCACAAATAAAGAAATTAAATTACGTCCTAATAATACGATATAAGTATTTGAGTTTAAGTCCCTGTAAGGGAACAATTTTTTTAAAAAATAGCTGAGAAGCATCAGGCACTCATGTAGACGGGACCGGGAGTTGGGAATCCGTTCGTGAGATGTTCTGGGGGGCTTGTCGCGGGGGCTTCCTAGACTTTTATGACTTGGGAGGTGAGGACGCTGGTCTGGGGGAGTATCGACGGGCGGGTGTTTTTCCTACAGCCCCAGCCTTATGTCTGTGGGTGACTGTCCTGAGCCGAGAGGGGAGTCGATCGGGTGGCGGGACAGATGGGGGGGGGGCTTCCCGGAGGCGCAGAATGAGCCCCCTTCGGCGTCCCAGCGGCTCCGGCGCCCCGGGCCACGGCTGCGGGGAGGCCGGCGTCGGACCAGGGCGGTGCTGGCGGTCCCCGCCCACTCCGCTGGAAGCTGCAAGTCGGCTTTCTGAAAAGTCGGGGAGCGGGGAGGAGGGCGGGCGGCGTCGGAGGCCGGGGGCGGAGCGGGCCTCCGGGGAGCGCAGGGGGTGAGGGCGAAGATTAGCGTAACTTGGAGATCGGCCCGGTGCGCGGGAGGCTGGCGACGTCTTAACCGTCTGCTTCCCGGAACACCAAAGAGCCGCCCTGCCGATCACCCGGCTACTTGTGTTCGGTTCAGTGTCGACTTACTTCTCTGGTGTGTCTTGCACAGGCTGACATGAAAATCTAGTTTCATCCTGCCACACTCGGGAGCGGCGATCGGGAAGCATGGCGATCCAGGAGAAGCAACCCCAAGATTAGCGTCCTTGTGCTGAAGCTCGGGTAAGAAAGCATGTAGGCACCCCGGGTAAGACGTTACCATGTGAGCGTATAGAGATTGTCCTAATTATATCGTGAGGGTGGAGTACTGTAAAGCCAGACAGCCTAACAGAGGTCCTAAAAAGTTATTGGCCTAAGGCCCAGGGACCGGCCTCACTTTGTGTGTGTAAACAAACAGTCCATACATAACTTTCATTATGTTGTCAAAGGGGTTGCCTCTAAGGTAAGAATAATTACTGTAAATCTGTTGGCAGAAAACAGTTGTTTTGCCTGATTTCATGTAGGATAAGGTGAGTTGATTACTTTGATAAACGGTATGGCCAAGATTATATGTATTTACTTTGTAAGTGGTTTCAGGGTCTCGCTTTTTTACCTATTTAGTGGTCACAAGGTATTCATACTTACAGTGCTTTATAATAATGCTTGCGTGTTTATATGCAGAGAAAGTTTTCACCAAGCAAGTATCACATCCAGCTCAGTCTGAGGTTCTGAGAACACAGCTGTGCACAGACTAGGCATGTCCTTGCTCTCTGGAACGTGCTGATATGTTAAATGTTAGTAGAGCTTCATTTCTCATGCTTAGATAGTGGACGTGCTCATAGTTTCTTGCACCCAGTGACTCTTCCATATATTTCACTTTAGAAACCACTACTATAATCAACCACCTTCAAATCCGGGCCTGAGTTTTTTATTCTTCACCATTATTTCCTTGAATAATGCGTTTACAGATTTTTTTTTTTATCCTCACCCGAGGACATTTTTGCATTTATCTTCAGATAAAGTGGAGGCGGGGAGAAACATGGACGCGAGAGAGGCACATCGAGTGGCTGCCACCCACACGACCCTAACCAGGGCCAGGGACAAACTGCAGCCGAGGTACGGACCCCTAGCGGGAATCGAACCCAGGACTTTCTGGTCCACAGGCCGATGCTCTAACCGCTGAACCAAACTGGCCAGGGCTGTTTAAAGATTTTTAACAATTTATTTACAATTGTGTGATATCCATTTGACTTGCTACAACCTTAAATGGCAAACCTTTTATTCTGACTGGTGTTTGGACATCTTTTCCTCCACTAACCATGAATTCAATAGATGGTAGTCTTTTGGTCTTGCTTACCTCCTAGTTAGAGGTGTTTTGGATTTCATTGTCTTTTATAATGACTGATTCCTAGAAAACTTACTAATGTAAAATGCCAAGTATAAGTGGAGCCAGGGATACTTAATAAAAATCAAACTGTCTTCTATTTTCTGCCTCTGTAAGAAAAAGAACAAATTTTTAAAAACTTTTTTTATTATATTTTTAAAATTTTTTTCTTCATTGATTTTTAGAGAGAGGGAGAGAGAGAGATAGAAACATCGATGAGAGAGAACATCAGTTGGCAGCCTCCTGCATGCCCCCCACCGGGGATATGGTCCACAACCTGGGCATGTGCCCTGACCAAGAATCGAACCAGCGACTTCTTGGTACTGGGTCGATGATGCTCAACCACTGAGCCACACTGGCCAGGCTCAAAAAAAACTTTCAGAAATGACCATTAATCTAGGTTCTTCCAAATGAATTTAAAAGGTATGAAACAAATAAAATATTGGTATTTACTCTACAAATTGTGTGCTCCTCGTAATCTCATGTTTACCTTTTTCAGGAATAGGAAAGTGAGATTCCACCAGAATGGAAGTGTGTCCCTATTGTAAGAAGCCATTCAAACGATTAAAATCCCACTTGCCATATTGTAAGATGATACAACCAACTATACCTGCTGATCAAAATGTTTGTCAGTCCAAGCAGGCTACACTCCCACGTGCTAAGAAAATGAAAAGTCCAATCAAAGACTCAATTAAAGCTAAAGAGAGAGAGGTGGGGCCAAAGAACGAGAAAAGAAATAGTAAGCTGATAAAGGACAAACCAGAACGGACTCTTGAGCCCTTTCCACTACCAGCTGTTGGTTTGGAAAGAGCAGGTGATACAAAGGCAAGTAAAGACATCAAGAATCAAATTCAGCTCTCCCTCAAAATGTTAAAAAATCCTGAACCAAAGATTACTCTCAAGGAAGCAGCCAAGGCTCAGTTTTATGCATCAAAGAACCCTACTCCTAAAAGAGAACTTGCCAAAGATTTGCCTCAGTCAGGGGGAAGTAGAAGTAATCCTTCAGAAACTGAAGCATCTTTACCTTTCGACCCAATAGAACCTTCTTTGTCAAATCAAGATGGAAAATATTCTTCAGCCTTACCTAATGATGTACAAACTACTTCTGCTAAGTTGAACTTGGACAAAATTGATCCCTCAAGACAGAAGCTTCTAGTAAAATTACTAGATATGCCTATTGGTGATTATCAGGGTTCTCCCATGAATCTCAGTTATGGAGATAAAAGAGTAAGAATGTCACGTTCAAGTGCTGAGAGAGATTCCAAGGCCAGGGACCACCTCTCAGAAGTTTATACTGATGTCAGAGACTATGTGAATGAGGAAAAGAACGTGGAATCACAAATTTTAGGTTTTCAAGTTAGCCCCTTAGGTAAGATCCAAGTCAAGGAGAACCCAGGAAAAGCACTTAACCTTGGAGCAGAAGCACGTGGGAGCAAAGGACATGCCGAGGAAAGTGTATCTGTGACAGAAATGCAGGAGTGCCCTTCCAGGAGCAATGACCGTAAGAACTTCAGTGTGGATGAGCCAGCCACAGAGAAGAAATCTCGAGATGAAGGTCTCAATGTAAACTCCACGCCAAGGAAGACAACTTGCAATGAGTTTCTTTCTGTATCACAGACGCGTAATCAGAGTCTTGCCTCTCTGGCTATAAAATTTCTACAAGAAGAGAAAGCAGAAGCCCACAATCCTAATCAGGTCCCTAATGTAATGGCGTTGATGGAGAGTGAGGGACAAGCTTCTCTGGAGCCCAGGTCTGGCTGTGGGCCCCAAGCCTCTCACCCTGAGTGCCAGTGGTCCTTACGTTCAACCCAGCATTATACTTCTAAAAGTGTCTTCGCTGGTCTGCAGCATGTTGCTGACAGGAAGACCCTTCCTAGCTCCCTGGGGCTGGAGTGGTTTCCAGAGCTCTATCCTGGGTATCTTGGACTAGGGGTGTTGCCAGGGAAGCCTCAGTACTGGAATTCAATGGCCCAGGCGCCTCAGCTCATCAGTCCCCAGGGGGAAAGACTGTCACAAGGTAAACACGCTCATTTTCAAGGGCCATCCAGCTCTAACAAACTGCTCTGTGCCTTTTGAATTAATAAGATTCTGAATACTAATCTTTTCACCCATTTAGCTTATTTTTACCTGGGCATTTATGTGCACTGGACTTAGAGTTGTTCTGAAAACATTACTTTTTGCTCCGAGGGTAACGGTGATTTACCACTCTCCCTTCCCCTCCACCAACAGTTGAAGGTTGGACTAGGCCAGGCTGGCTGGTGATATTGACAACAGTTGAATTTCTACATGGGGAAGAGGCATGGCTAGTAGAAGAAATTGGGTGGATATTCAAGCTGAACAGACTCAAGAAAAACAAAGACTTCAGGGTCCACCTAAGTAGAACAAGCACTATGTTCAGATCTCAATTAGGACCAGGTTGTACGCAGAATAGGGCCAGGTTTATGGTAAATGCAAACTCCGGGAATTTAGAATAGCAAAGAAGGTGCAAGCAGGCACTATTTTTTGATTTGGGGGCAGGTTTGGGATTAAACTGTCAGTTCAGACAGATCAGGGGAGGTGGAGGTTTAGGAGGACCAGGAGTAGAGGGTGTGGCAAAGTTTGTGCAAGTCCACGTACTAGAAAAATGAGTTCACAGAGGATAGGGCCCAAGAATGGAACCATAGATTGACCTTGAGACATGAGCAGTTAGGGTAGGTGGGTGACATCGACTGGACATGGGAACTGATCTGGATTGAGTCAGTCTCTTCAGAAGCTTTCTGGATGCTCCTTGCTGATGTCTAGAATAGCTTAACTGGTGGGTAAGTAGGCCAAGTAGGAGCCAGGAAGTTCTGACAGTCACTTCAGGTGTCCCTTGTTTTTTCTGATGCTCGTCTTCAAGTATTGGACTCCCTCTCTAGTTGCAATGCGTAAAGTTTCTTCGTTTTCTTCATCAGGAGGCTTTGCATTTTTTTCCCTTTAGGATTTCTAGGGGCAGAGTTGAATATACCATCGGTCTCTTTTGTGTGTGTAGTGTTATTGGTCCTTTTGGTTTATTTTAACAGGAGACTTATAGCAACCCAGTCTCAGAATAGGTTGGCACCTGAAAAACTTGTATTATCTCTTCCTAAAGGGATATAATTTTTCCTCTGGTATATTCTATAAAAGATCACATATTCACTAAATGCCAGTTTGTCTGGTCTCAAAAGCATTTTCTTTTGTATTTTAATGATCCCTTTCTAAATATTTCTAAATGGAAGTGTATTAGGTATAGAATGTTGTTAGTAAAGCTGCATTTTCTTCAACTGCCTCAGCAGTGACTGGTTTTCTGCAGTCTAAGATCTAGGCCATTCCTCATATTAAACATGGAATGAAGATTAACATTTGTGTTGCTCAGTGGTTTTCAGAGAGCTTCCATCTATTTTCTTATTTTGGCCTCTCCAGTCAGAGGTGGGCAGAGTGATTTTATCTGTTTTGTAGCTAATGAAACAGGCACAGAGAGGGTAAGTGGTTTGTCCAAGGTCATGCTGCCAATAAGTAGTAGAGTTGCACGTAGAATCCAGTCTCCTGAGGCCTGGTTTAACCCTTCCCACTAAACCATGTTGTAGAAAACATGCCAACACTAGAAACATAGGTGTTTGTTAAATCTCAACTTCTCTGTGGTCTTCAGTTGCATAAACACACAGCCCATAGCAAATCTCTAACACGTAGAAGGACTTCTTTATTTTATGTACTACCTTTGATAGCACTAAAGTACGTCCTCGGGAGCCCTGGCTGGTTTGGCTCAGCGGTTCGAGCGTCGGCCTACAGACCAGAGAGTCCTGGGTTCAGTTCCCACTAGGGGCACATACAAAAAAAAAAAAACAAGGAAAGGGAACTGGCTTTTTTGTCGAGTGGTGACTTCCAGTCATTGTTGCTAGGTTAGGTCTTTATTATCTCACTTAACCTTCATAAGAATTCTGAAGTGATGTCACTCACCCACCCTTTTTCATAGGTGAGGAATCTGAGAGAGAAATACAATCCTTCCTTCAACAATAAGTTCCTCCACAATAGTGGTTGGAAGCTGTTTTATTCTCTCATTGATTCCAGTCTGTATAATAAGTGATTCATTGGAGTTCTATCAGATAATGTGTGGCCATCCCAGGGCCTCTCGTTTTATTATAAACTGAAAAACTGGAGAATTTAGTTCCACGACTAATGTTCAGACTTTGATGCTGCCACTGAATGAGTCCCTAGGGTCTCAGTCAGGTCAGGACCTGATTCCTCAGTTGACCAAGGACCTCAGCAAGGCCACCTCGATCTACAAGGACTAAAAGGCACTTGGCACCTCAGCTTTGTCATTTTACCAGGCAATGGCTGCCTCCACTGACTGCGAATTAAAATTGAATTTGCATGGAATCTTTGCAGAGACCATGGACTGTATTCCCTTGCACAGGCAAGGCCTTTGGTGGTCCATTCGGCCTTTATCTCAGGAAGCCAGTTCGTTTTAGTACAGGCAGGGCCAGTGAGCTGACAATTACTGAGTTAACGCAATGTCAGCCATGATGCCTTCGTGTCTACCAATCCTGGAGACTGACCTTTACCCCTTTTATAGGTGAGGAAACTGAGTTCCAGAGGAAATAACTTGCCCAACATCAAGTTTCAGTTGATGGCTAACATTGTCTGATGGTCTTTGCCAAGCTTTTCCAGGCAGTGTTTCTTCTGTTGGGCTTTGGGCTTTGAGAGGGTGTCAGATGTGCATTCCTACACAGGGAGACCTGCGACGGCAGCTAGTCCTTACACCAGGCTGCCCGAGTCAACCTAGGTCGGGTGATCGCACCGGACGAAAAGCACCTAGAGCCTTGAGAGGCTTACCAGGCTGTCTCGTCCTTTTGATGGAACAGGTAGACCCAGAAGCTCTCGTGGCTGACGGGAATGGGCCTGTTTCGGTGGCGGAGGAAGGCGGTCCCGAGGCAGACTGGTAGTCTGAGGGTGCCACAGAGCTCTAGTAAGTCAGGAATAAGAATTTGGCTTACAATTTCAGCGGCATCAAGAGGCATCTTTTGAGGTTTAGGTAGGATTTTCCTGGGAAAGTTCATCATTTTCCTGGCCTGGAAGAAAATAGATTTTATAAGTTCAAGATTTAAATCTCGAAAGACTCAAGTACAAGTGCCCGAGAGTCCTCAGCGAGAGGAACAGGTTCCCACTGTCCAAAGGAAAGCATTCAGGGTCCTGTAACCTTGAGAATGTTCAGCTGGGAGCACATGGCTGAGCCTGTGCAGCATTCGGGGTGCATAAACGTCCTGGGCATCGCCCCAGAGACTGATTCTGAAGTTAAGGCCTCGAAGTCATGTTTTCCGATGTCTCCTAAGTGTTGAAGGCAGCCAGGTTAGAGAACTGCCGATGTAGGAGATGGCATGAGGGCAGGCAGGTGCCTCAGGCTCAGCAGGGGAATGGTCTTGAACAGATGACGGGGGAGGGGCGGGTGGTTTGAGAAAAACTGTTCATGTAACTACCAAAAGCAAAACCTGGCTGATGGAGGTACCTGGAGATAACGTGAGAAAGCCTGATAGGGTCATGGGTTTTTTAAAAAGGCCAAGTAACAGCTAAGCAGAGGCTCTTTCCTGACCTTCAGACAGCATTTCCTTCAGTGGGTGTCCGCGGGAGATGCCAGATGGGGCATGTGTGCGAAGGCTCCAAGGGTCAGGATCAGAACTGGAGCAGGAATGTGACAGGACAGGGTTAGGTCCCCTCTCAGCCAGAGGAGTCCATGGAAGGGGATGTTCTAGATAAAGGAGCATGTGAGTGAGCAACAGCCAGAGATTTAAGGGCCAGGTCAAATCAGAGGTCTGGGATTCCAGAGGGACGATGGGAACAGGTCCAGAGGGGTGGCTGAGGGTCTTCAGCGGTTGTATTACAAGGAGGGGCCAGTGTCACTGGAGGGTTAACCATGCACGTTGGGTTTAAACGTAAGGCCATGGGCACTGGCAGGTAAAAGACAGCGTCTGGGAGAGGAGGTGGCAAAGGCTCAGCAGTGGATCTTGGCAGCCCCAGCCCACAACCAGGCCAGAGGGGTGGAGACCGCACCCAGAGAAGCTGGGAGCAGGAAATCGAGAAAACTCTCACAGTACAGTGGTTCTGAGCCATCTCTCCCAGCTCCGGGCCTGAACTGAGGTCATGCATGTGACTGACAGCCTGAGGAAGTGAGGAGTGTGGCTGGAGAGAGAACAGAGAGGAGGAGCCACCCGGCTCCTGCACTGCCGAGAACGTTGCAGTCGGGATCTTCGTGGAGTTGTTCCACCCCATCTTTTCCGTTAAATGTTTTCCAAGATGAGTGGGTGATGTCATGCTTTAAGACCCTAACCTTCATCTTACAAGAGGATTACCTTCTGCAAAATTCCTTGGCAGCGGCACGGTTCTTTTCATTGTTACTGCATAAAATGATGACCATTTGGATAGTATTTTTACATCCACATAACTTTTTTTTTTTAATAGCAAGTACAGATTGTGCTTGAATTGGTGGGAGGTCATTCCAAGAGTGAATCAATACTAATTATTTTAACGGGGGTGGGGGTGTTAATTAGGTGAGAATGTGGCTGATGGGAAGTTCATTGCCCAGAGCCCTGGAAACGCCAAGGCTGATGAAAAGAAAGGTAAAATGCAAAGGGAAGAGTGCGGTGTGGGAATGATTAGTCCAGTGCAAGGGGCCGGGGTTTGTAGATGAAAAGCATACCTTGATTCCGTGTGACCGCGGCAGTGAGGATGTTAGAGATCTCCCACGTAGGTCCCTGTGTGGAGATTTCTGTTAAGGTCATCAAGACTGCAGTTTGTCTAGTGGCGTCTCGCCCAGCCCCACAGAATCTTTCTGTCCCTCTTCGAACAGTAACAACCAGTCTCTTCAGTTGCAGTAATGCCTTTGATCACCCCTGTTAGCCTTCATGAGTTTCTTTCTGTGTTTTAGTCATTGTTTGAGGAATTTCCCCTTTCGTAAAACTATTGATTGTTTCTCTAAGGTTTATTGGCTTTGGGAGTTTTTCTGAACTCACAGTGACCTTTATTCTGTAGGAGAGATGAGGCAGCAGTGCTTTGAAGATTAAAAATCTCTGGCCTTGCCCTGGCCGGTTTGGCTCAGTGGTTAGAGCGTCGGCCCGCAGTCCAGAGAGACCCGGGTTCGGTTCCCGCTAAGGGCATGTACCTTGGTTGCAGTTTGTCCCCGGCCCTGGTTGGGTCGTGCAGGTAGCAGCCACTCGATGTGTCCCTTTCACATCGATGTTTCTCTCTGTCTGTCTCTCTCTCTCTCTCTCTCTCTCTCCCTCCCACTCTGTCTGAACAAAAAAATGGAAAAATGTCCTCGGGTGAGGATTAAAAAAAATAATAAATCTGTGGCCTTTTCCTTAACTGACTTTGGGACGAGGGTAAGAGGAAGGAGCGCATATGTGAGGTTTTAATGCTGTGGCCCATGCACGTAAGACTCGAAGCGACATGTCCTAGAGCTGGAGCACCTTTCTGATCACGTGGTACCAGCCTACAGAGATCAGACTGAGCTGGAAGCCAGACGTACGTTAAGAGTGTGGAGTGAGCGAGTGTGTTTAATCTGATTGGGATGAGGCACACTCTGTTCCCAAATGGTGTTCTGCTTCACATGACGTCTTTAAGGACTGTCATGTACAGGTATGTTTGTCTTCTCCCCAGCGTTGTTCTCACTGTGACTGATCCCAAGTACATTTTCTTGTATGTCAAGACCATCAGTGTTAACCTGAAATGGCGTCTGTGGGGAGAGATTGACAGTGGCCCCAAGCGACAGGTATTACCAGGACAGCTCGAGCTGCCACCTCGGCTCAATCCCAGTTGACCCTCTCATGATTGGCTGCTTAGGATTGTGATGAATCACTGGAGTTTACTTAGCAGAACTTGCCAGCATGCCCCCAGAGCAAAAGAAACGCCAGGATTGTCCTGTGAAATCATTCCCTGCCATCAGCTTTGTTGTCTTGGCCAAGAAGAGCTGGAGGTCTGACGTTATAACATCGACTTTTACCACACCTGCTAAAGCTGTCATCAATATTTACTTAATTTATCCTTTACCCTGATGAACCAAACCAAGACTAGAGAACCCGCAATAGAAGAGATTCGCTGCCTGTCATTAAACAGAGAGAAAAACAGGCACAGGGAAAATGTAAATACACGGCACAAACCCTCCTTTCTGGTTCTTCCTCAGGCACGTATTGAGCATGAATGAGAAATGTTTGCCGGTCAGGAGGAGTGGTGGGGGACTAGAACAGACGTGAACTGTAGACATAGTGACAAGTAGCTATGGTTAATCTAATCATAGAAAGTCATGCTTTTTGCTAAGATATTTTAGCAGATGATAGAAAAGAAGAGCAATTCATTTCATTCAGCGTGTACAGAGGGCAGAACGTTCATCAGATCAGAAGTGTACCAGGTCCCGATCCCCAGGGCTCCCTCAGTCCTTTGAAGAGCCTTTTTTGGACCCGTGATGACGGCTTTGACTTGGAGCACTTAGCGGAGTTGCAGCCCCGCACCTTTTTAGAATCTGCTTCTCCTGAGGCGTTGCCCTGGGAACCTTGGGTACTGAGTATTGGGGAAGAGGATGAATTCAGATGACCTGTCACTGTGACTTCTGTTTGGGACCGCAGTTCCTTTGTTGGAAAGAAGTTCGACTGCTCTGTGGAGTTGGGATCCCCCGACCAAGCTTACAACCTCCAACGTCTCTCTAATGAGGCTCTTGGGAGCTGTACAGAAAGGTGAGGCCAGAGTCATCACTTGCTGGGTTCTGTTGCTGATTCCAAGCATTGGGAGAGTTTTCTCTTAAGGTCAGCCATGTCTGCTACAGCATGGCTAAAGGAGACATGTGTAGCCTTCCTGCTCTTCTGTCGGTTGAGTCTGATGTCATTGAAAGCACCAAAGTTAATTAAATAGCAGCAGTCATTTATTGAACAGCTTTCAGTTTTTAATTCCTACCCTGCCTCTCTGCCACCTAAACCCATGTGGCCCTTGCCCACATTGATTGTGCCAGAGCCAGGAAGACTCTCAACCTTCAGTTAACCAATCAGTCATGTTGGTCTCCTCCCCACTAAAGATTTTATCCAGACTACCAAAAACAAACAACTAATGTAAACGTCTTAAATCTAAGGCCTTCTAGACTTGAGCCTTTTTGTCTGTTTAAATATAAATATAAATATATATATATATATGTATGTAAATTCCTTGAATTACGGTTCCATCGCCCAAGCTAACAGATAACGCGCCAAGAAACCTCAGCCACAGTTTCATGGCCACCCTGTTTCTTGTTAAACAGGCTGGATCAAGTGCAGCACCACCATGAAGAGCGGAGTCGGTGGCGTCACCATGCTCTTCACGGGATACTTCGTTCTTTGTTGCAGCTGGAGTTTCAGGCATCTGAGTAAGCCTTGTTTTTGTAGCCTCAGTAGAGACCTCCAAGGGATTCTCCGAACTGCTTTTTACAGCATCACAGTCCGGCACTATCTGACAGGCTAGTGGGTGGGCTACAGTGCCTGCGGCTCTGGGATTCTTTTTATTAAGAGGTTTTGGTGGTAGTGGCCTTTGTAAGACTTGACGAGAATTTACATAATTGCTTTTGTGCTCCATTGAAAGTTGCCCCTGGAGAGGTTTGCCTCTTAGAAGATTGGGCTCTTCTCCTTGGTGACTTTTTAAATCCTACTTAATGCCCTGGCCGGTTTGGCTCAGAGGTTAGAGCATCAGCCCGTGGTCCAGAGAAGCCCGGCTTCGGTTCCCGCTAAGGGCATGTACCTTGGTTACAGATTGTCCCCGGCCCCGATTGGGGTTGTGCAGGAGGAGGCGGCCACTCGATGTGTCACTTTTCACGTCGATGTTTCTCTCTGTCTCTCTTCCTCTTTCTCCCTCCCACTCTATCTAAAACAAATTTGGAAAAATGTCCTCGGGTGAGGATTAAATAAATAAATACTTCCTACTTAAGAACTTCTAGGATTGGACCAGCCCTCTGTGCGTAGCTCATTACTGAAGAGAAGAGCCCAGCACTTTCAGATGAAGCTTCTGGTGTAGAAGTACAAGATAGCCATTGACACTAACGGCTAGAGTTCACCAACTTCTCAAATATCAAATTAACTAACTGGAGTTTTTGCTGATTCAGTGCCGGTTAGTAGGGGAGCAGGCCAAGCAGCAGCGGGACTGAAGCTGCCCTGGTGGCGATAGTAGGGCTGGTCTAGCCCTGGGCCTCGGTGGGGCAGGGATTCCGCTCTGATATCCCTGCATAAACGGATGCCCCACCCGCACGGGCAACACCTTTCTTTCAGCCCTTACTTGTCAGAAGGGGTCACCCAGTGACACCTGAGGTTATTTTTCACATCTGTACACTGAGACTGGAAAAGTGCAGCTGAGACTTCTCATTGTTGCCCAAGACTTGATTTCTCCATTTAACAGTGTGATCTGTGGAGGTGAAGAGTCTGTCGGAGTCGCCTCTCGGACCTCACACTTCTGTCTGTCTACCCAGAGCTGCTGCGCTGGCGTAAGGAACGTTGACCTGGACGCTTCGGGACGCCCCGGACGCCAGGAGCGCGCGCTGGAGACAGCTAGGACACGCGTCCACGTTCAAGTTGTATTGGGGGCAGGAGAGGGAGGGGAAAGAATAAATTATTGAATCTAAAGCAGCAATTTAGAAAGTATGTTTTTAATGTGGACAGATCTGGTTCTGTCTGGGTATTTCTTTGCCTTGTTCACAGAAGTGAAAAATACCAGATTGTTTTATCATAGAGGCTGATGATGTTCAGGGAGATAAGATGATGACCAAGTTTATCATTAAAACGTTTAGTGATTTCCCAGTTCTCACTAAAAACTAATATCTCAATTTTAAAGCTTTCTCCCTGAAATTCTTGACACCTTGGCATATTACTGTTCAACTAGACTAGATTCTGAGCTGCATTACGTCCTGATACCCGAGTCGACAAAATCGGCGTGCATCAGGCCCTTCCCTCAGGAAAGGTTTGGCCCGTCTGCGTCCCCAACCAGGTCTTGGCAGGTATGAGATAAGAAAGCAGAGTAAGGGTGGGTACGGGGTTGCTGGTGAGCCTGTGAAAAGGCCTTGACAGGTGCTGTCTGAGCCGACGGAAGGAGCACACGGACCAGAGCGGGAAATCGCCTTCTGGACGTGGTGACTGACGACAACAGTGAGCAGTGGGTTTTGGCTTGTCCGCGCCCTGGAAACGCAGTCCCACCCCATCCCTGCTCGAGAATTTCAGTGAAATCCTTGCATTCCTTTCATTTGGTAAGGGTTGTTTGGGGCTCTTTCCCCCTCAAATATTCAGTGTTTTTCTAATTTTATGACTTCTGCTTCGGCCCCTAGAGAGTAACTTGGATACTTACAGATAGAAAAGTCTATAAATACCCAAAACAGCCATGGCCGGTTTGGCTCAGCGGTTAGAGCATCGGCCTGCGGTCCAGAGAGACCTGGGTTCGGTTCCCGCTAAGGGCATATACCTGGGTTGCAGTTTGTCCCCGGCCCTGGTCGGTCGTGCGGGTGGCAGCCACTCGATGTGTCCCTTTCACATCGATGTTTCTCTCTCTCTCTTCCTCTCTCTCCCTCCCGCTCTATCTGAACAAAAATATGTCCTCGGGTGAGGATAAAGGAAAAAAAAAATACCCAAAACATACGGATAACTGTTTCTTCAACCCCTTTTCTAGGAAGGGGGGGGTGTGTGATTATGTATCACATATAGATATGCCTACATCTGAAGATTTTACACACACACGGGTGGGCAAAAGAAGGCTTACAGTTGTGAGTGCAAGAAACAGTTCGTTCTTGTATTATTTGTGTATTAATTCTTGAATTTACTACTAACGTACTTTGGCTCACCCTGTATCCCGTTGTTGCGTGTTTATCCTCAAGCCAGAGGACACGGGTCAGCCCCTCCGTCCCAGCTCCCCCACCCATGGGTGAGTGGGTGTGCTAGTCTGAGGCCAGCCTTAATTTATTTGCACATCTCTCTTCTCAGAACTCAGACTCTGGCCATCTTCTTCTTTATCTGCCTTTTCTACTCCCAGTTCTCAATTCCTCTCCCTCTCGAGTTATCCCCAGCGGGAACGGCTCGGTTCTGCACCGGCTCCTGGTTAAGGAAAGTACACTGGAATTCTCCTAGTATACTGGAAAACCTCACGGCTGAGAGGAAGAAGACTCCATTTACTTACTGGAGTTCAGTGTCACTAAGAACTTCGCCGGAACTCCAGAACAAGTTCCTTTCCCTTGCAAGGGCTTTGCCCATTCTTTCTAAATGCCCTCGGCAGAGACCCTTAGGGAGGGAATCTCCCCTGCCCCCCCCTTGTCCCTGTGGGTCAGAAACTCTCAGGATGCGACAGTGGATGAGAAATCTTTCAATGATGCCCAACTCAGCCAACCACGGCCCTGACCTGTTCCCATCGGCTTCCTGGAGCCCCTGCTGTGATTAGGTGGCTCTCCCCTCAGTGTGGCCCCCAAACCTGGAAGTACTTAGTATGGGGCCTGAGACCAAGGTGCGACCGCGCCCTGGAGGAGTGAGAGCCTTGGGCTCGTGTGGGGTGAGGAAGGCAGGGTGCTGCTCGGGGCCTTTCTGGGCTGGGAAACAGGAGGAGCCTCTGACTTGGTGCCTCGGTGCCTCGGTTGTCCCCTAACTGCCCACAAGTGCCGTGGCACCAAGGGGTAGCTGGTAGCCCCCAAGGTTTTTACCACGAACATTGTTATCACTTTTGTAAACAAACTAGTGTCGTTGGTCGTCATCAGAATGTGAAGACCTAATGAACGGAAGTCATGCACAGGAAGTGCTTTATATCCCCGGATAGTTTCCGTAACGAGGAGGAGGAGCTGCTCAATGCCCGGCAGTCCTAACGGGCGGTCTGCGTCGTCGGCCAGGTTTCTGGCGGAGTCGGGAGCCCACATCGATTAGAGGGTTTCGGTCCACACGGTCAGGACTGAGAGGCCCCAGGTACGCTGTAGGAAGGGCAAACGACCTGAGTGCTTGGAGTTAGATACGAGCTTCGGTTCTTAAACAGAATGGGGGAAGTGCCTGAAGAGGCCCCAGGCCAAGGGCTCCCTGTCTCCTGGCGCCTGGGGTGGGGAAATACTCGGAGGCCTTTTAGCAAGTCTTGTAAGGATTTTTTCACAGTGTTCAAAATAATGTAAGAGAGTAGTTGAGGTCAGTTGATGGCCATTTTTTTCCTCGATTCAGACCTAAAACTTCTCATGATCAAGGAATACACCTCATTGCTCTATTTTGCAGTATTGGTATAAACTTGCCTCATTCATTGTTTTTTTTCTTTTTCTTTATTGATTTTAGAGAGGAAGGGAGAGAGAGAGAGAAAAACATCGATGAGAGAGAACATCGATTGGCCACCTCCTGCATGTCCCCACTGGGGATCAGGCCCACAACCTGGGCATGTGCCCTGACCGGGAATCGAACCGGCAACCTCTTGGTGCATGGGTCGACGCTCAGCCACTGAGCCACACCGGCCGGCCTCATTCATTGTTGTTATATGCAAATTTCCCTCCAATTCAGGTTAGTTCCATGCCAGTCCCTGATGTATGTGACCTGGCAGACAAGGCCACATCCAGAAGGGCTGCAGAGGCCTCACACTGGAATGTGGTGAGTGAGGCCGCTGTGTGCAGAGGCTGCTGCGCCTCCGAGCTCGGCACAAAGTCAAGAGCAGAGGACGAGTGCTTGGCCATCTAAACAGCCTCCTCAGTCTTGTCTCTTGGAATCGTGCTCCGCGTCTGTCGTGGAACTGGCGAGAGCTCCCCCGGCGGAGCGGCGGCACTCAGATGTGGCTTCCAGGGCTGCCGTGTGGAGTCTCCCAGCAGCGTGCGTGGGCCTTCCGCCCGAGTGCGCGCGAGACCCACGTCCACGCTCCCATCCGTCCCGCAGAAGGCCATGCAGGCCCTCCCAGCCCTGAGGAGGCAGGACGTTCCTGTGACTGCAGGTCACCCGTGTGGCAGCCCACGGGGAGTGTGCAAGTGGGTCATCCCTGCTGCTGCCTGCTTGAGTTTAATCCTCAATCTTGTTTATTTTTTTTATCCTCACCCGAGAACATTTTTCCATTTTTTTGTTCAGATAGAGTGGAAGGGAAAGAGGAAGAGAGAGAGTAACATCGATGTGCAAGGGACACATCGAGTGGCTGCCACCCGCATGACCCAGCCAGGGCCGGGGACAAACTGCAACCGAAGTACGTGCCCTTAGCGGGAACCGAACCCGGGACCGCAGGCTGACGCTCTAACCGCTGAGCCAAACCGGCTAGGGCTTAATCCTCAATCTTAATTTAATATTGGAAATAATTGAGTTGACTGGGTAAAGTACATTTTCTCTAATACACATGAAAATTCTAGCTATTGAAAGTAAAACCATTTTGTTCTATTATCCGTGGGATGTTTCACACTCCCTGGGAACCCTGTCTGCTGCCACTATTTTTTTTTTTTTATCCTCCCCGCCCCTCCTACAGAATCCTTCCACCATTCCTTACAACAGATCTTTTTTTTTAAATAAAAGTCCTGTGTTCTGATTCTTTGCCTCTTCCAGACCCTCACATGTGTCCTTGGGCAAGTTACCCTCTTCTTAGAGCCTCCGTGGTCTGGACCAGAAAGTTCTACTTCATAGAGATTTGGTGAGATTAGAAGCCTGGCACTTGTTCGTCCAGCAAGGTCTGACAGGAGGCGTTAACAGCTCTTCTAAGACCTGCTGCTGGTGTATTCTGTTCAGATTCTGAACTTAGGCGGGACCCCCACAAGCCACAGACGAGTCCAGCTACCGTCCGGGCTGCTTTGTCCGAGCCCAGTGCGGGCAGAGCCCTTCCACACATTCCCCTCTGTCCTCCCCTTGCCAGGCACATGTGCTCATTTCCCGAGGAGCGGAGGCAGTGTGCCTACCTAGCTGTGTGCACTTGTCACATCGCAGCGCTGGGTAGAGCTGGCATTCGACCCCCCAAACCTGTCTCCTGGGCCAGCATCCTTTCAGCTGCCTCACCCCTCACCCTCCAGCTCTGCAGGCCTGGCGCCGGCTCCACTGCCTCGGGTGGGGGCTTGTCCTGCCGCAAGCCTTGTATTGTCCTCCTCCCGCTCTCCGAAGGACACAGCTCCGCGTCCCCACTCCTTCCGCGGGCGCAACGCCTGGTGTCGACCTCAGCAGCCTTACACGTTCCATGTCACGGCCTGCCTCCCAGGATAAGCCTGGCTGTACCACCTACTCCCGGTAATTCCCCGCACCAGGCGTGCCCAGAACAGGGTCTTAAATGTAAGCCACACTGGGAAGCAGCCGTCGTGCTAGAGAACACCACTTGATTTAATTGCCGGTTTGGAGCAGCAGCCGCGGCCCTGTGCACGGCCTGCCGGGTGCAGCCCGCCTGCCGCACTCTGCCCGGTGTGTGGGTGACCCGCCCTGCCACAGTCCATCTGCCTGCGATCCTGCTGGAGTTCCGGGAGCTCGTTCACCGGCAGGCTGAGGACAGAGCCACTGTGCGTCTCACCTTGTTTAGGCAACCGTGGGCCCACGAGGACATTGGGAACAAGCCCACAGAATGGCCACGGGGCTCCTCACGGGCAGCTCCTCCAGCCCCCCAGACAGACCAGGAGTTACATCCGACAGCTCTTACCCGGTCAGTCTACTGCATGCAGTTAATGATATAATGGCCCATTTTTTCACACTGAAAGGGAAAAAATGAATGGTGTTGGTTTTTGTATATGGAAATCCCAGAAGAAAAACTCCTAAATTGTCTAGGGAAGCAGAGAAGAGCTAGCTGGCCGTCTGAGGAACGGGGTGGCTTCTGCGCATAGTGGAGCCCCATTTCAAGCCCAGAGGATCCCCTGAGATTCGGGCCGAGGCATCACTACCCCAGAGAACAGGACTCTGGCCAGTAAGTCTAATGTACGAGGAAGGTGAGGGTCTGCCCTTGCCTTTCGTCCTCACAGGACTTCTCTGGCAGAACAGAAGTCAGAGCTCAGGACGGTTAGAGGCCATCAGCAGGTAGTACGATAAAACATGGTGTGCGGGTACAAAGGAGCTAGGTGCTACCCGCCCCTCCACCCTCCACACCCCTGCTCTTCAGGACATTATACAGAAGTGACTCCAGAGAACCGGCAGGCAGCAAAATTAGACATGAAAGATGTTTAACTTATTAGCATTTTAAAGAAATAGTCTTGTCCGGCAGGAGGTAAGATTAGATTGTTGAGACTTCCCAGTCATGACTTTTGGTTTATCAGTATTCCTCCATTCCCTTAATTCACACTCCGAAACCCAAGCAGGGTTTTCTTTGTGGCAGGGAAGGAGTCACATTCCACAGCGACTCCCCCCCCCCCCCCCCCCCGCCCTCCAGCCCTGGACAGAAAACAGCTCGAACCCCTCAGGCCTACTCACCCTGTAGCTGGGGCCCTGCTCCTGCGCCCTGAGCCCTGGGCAGCAGGAGGCCAGCTGCTCCCGGGGCCGCAGGGGGTGGGGGAGAAGCAGACACTCCATCGGGAAAGGGGGCTTTCGGGGTTGCCAGGTAGCAGCAGAAGGTGCTGGAGCCCAAGGCCGGGTGAGCTGCAGAGACGGGAGTGCGTGAAGAAGCAGTTATGTAGACTCCTCTGCAGACATGGCCACTCTACCCCGAGGGCAGGGGCTCTGGGCAGGCATTCGGGCAGAAGCGAGGTTTTGAAATGCCTTTCTTTGCCATTCTCATTGCCAAAAACATGCCTTTGGATGGAAGTTAGAAATGGGCTTATGAATGTCCTTGAGGGTTATTTCCCACCTTCTGGCGGAGATGCCGCTCAGAACCGGCAGGGGGCGCCCTCATCCCGCGCCAGCACCATCCCAGCCCCCTGGCCGGGCCCTCTAGCTACGGACTGGACAGGACGGCCAGTGAGCAGGAGCTGAGCAGCGATCATTCAGCCGGCAGGCGTGGCCCGCAGGCTGTGGTTTGCTGGAGGCTGTCACAGTGCTTGGTGTCTGCAGAAAGAGTTCTGACCCCAGACAACCAGGATGGCCCCGAGTCACAGTAACAGCTTTGACCACCCATGTTATTAGCTAAGGAGAAGGGGAAGCCTGGGGGCCTGGGCGCTGAGAAGTCCTACCTGAAGCAGAAGTTACAGGGCTTGGGGGGGTCTGAGAGGAGCAGCCACACGTATGTGCCACGTACACCCAGGGCCGTGTGCCTCTCCCAGGATGGGGCACAGAGCCGCCACGTGAGAGTGAGGGGTGGGGCCGTGCAGCGCTGGGGCCTGAGTCCCCCAGGGAGCACAAGTGGCAGGAGGCACGCGGCCCTCCCTGCTGCACCCACCTCCACGTGCGTCGGGCTGAAGGGAAGGTTCATCTTGGGGCTGGGGAAAGAGACAATCAGAGCCACTCTGTAGCCTGCCCGCCGCTGGCCCCCGCTGGCAGGGTCCTGGTTTCAGCACCCCAGGAAGGAGCCCGCACCCTCTCCGGGAACTGAGGGAGCTGCAGAGGGTTTGGGTGTTAAGTGTCCTCACTCGTGTTTCTAGAACACTCGTGAGGAGCTGCACGCGGTCCCGGCATGCACACACCAACAGCACGGCGGCGCTGGGACAGCTGAGCACCGCAGGGCGGGGGTGACGCCAGGAAAGCGCCGGGCAGTGCTTGCCGGACACGGCGGGTCCCCCTGGGTCAGAGAAGCTACAGAAGGATCTAGATGGAGAAGGCAGAGAGTGGGCCCAGCCCTGGGTGGGACCAAACTTACTGTGCATATTGGCATTTGGGTCCCTTGGGGCAGAAGCCCGCTAAGTAGTTAATGCACAGTAGCCTCTGGATGTGGTGGTACTTACACAGGGGACCTGCCGGGCAGAGAGAAACGGCCAGAAGCTGCCTTAGCAAAGGGGGGAAACGACGAAGCTCGCTGGGGAGGAACGATGGCCACAGGCTCCCCTTAACGGGGTGTAGACGTCTTCCTGTCCTGTCCAGAGGGCCCCGAAGCACCTACTTCCCAGCCACGTGACAGACGGGAAAGGGAACCTCGGAATGTCTCGGGTGGGCATGTCCCTCACATGCTGTGCCTCAAAGGACTTAGGTAGAGGCAAACTGTCACTTAGCTGTAGAAGGTACAGGTGAGGCAAGGCTAACCCCACATCTCACTAATCCTCCTTCAGCACCCCTCCTCTATAACTGTCCCCCCAAAGGGACCCTGCCAAGAACTCAGTAAGAACAACATGCCAAAGGCACAGGACAGGGAAGCACACAGGTGCTCAGAGCGGGGACTCTGATGGGGTCCCTGTCTCCTGAGTTTGGCTGACTGTACTGGGGTCAGTGGAAATGCTTTAGTGGCACTCAGGACACCCCCAGGCGGGTGAACTGCATGTCCCCTGTGGGCCAGACCCTATTCCAGGCGCTCCCCGTGGGGCCCGGCAACCCTAGGAGGGAGGCGTCTTTCTTTTCCTGAGAGGAAGCGAGCAGTTCAGCCTTGCGTTCAAGGTCGTGCAGCCGACACACCCCGAAGCCACCGGGATTGGAGCCCAGGTAAGCCTGCTGCAGGAAGCCCGCCACGCCCACGCCAGCCTCCATGCCACGGTGTGACAGAGGGCTCTCCCACGGAGCGAGCACGAGAACCACGGAAAGGATCTCTGTTGGGATTTCAACCCGGGGGAGACCTCGCCCCAGTGGGGCCTCATCGGCGATATGCAACCTCCCTGCAGAGAGACCGCCCATCTGGTCACCCCCATCCCCACTGCCCCCTTTCTGTCAGGGCCTCACCGTCTCTGCAGAAACCTTGATCATACCAAGGACAGTCCCGGGTCCTGAAAACTGTCTTCGTGTGGAGAAAGTGACATTCCTTGTTGCTGCATTCACCTGAAAAGTCCAGTATTCTTTGTAGATGGGCAGGTTTGTTTCCATGGTGACTTCCGCCCTCCCCACACTGAATTGACCTTGCCCCTCAAATAGAGCCACTTGCCCTGGCCACCTGGCTCAGTTGGTTGAAGTATCGTCCCATACACCAAAAGGTTGTGTTTTTGTTTTTTTAATCCTCACCTGAGGATATTTTTACGATTATCTTCAGACAGTGTGGGAGGGAGAGAGAGACAGACACACAGAGAGAGAACCATCGACGTGAGAGGGACACATCGATTGGTTGTCGTCACCCGCAGGACCCCAACAGGGGCCGAACCGCAACCATTGGCTGGAATCGAACCCAGGACTCTTTGGTCTCTTGTCTGCAGGCCGATGCTCTAACCGCTGAGCCAAACCAGCCAGGGCCAAGGTTGAGGTTTTGATTCCCAGTCAGGGCACATCTCAACCAATCGACATTTCTCTCTCACATCTATGTTTTTGTTTCTCATCAATAAAAACATATCTTTGGGTGAGGAGTATATATGCCACTTGCCTTCCTTCTGGTCGTCAGCAGCTTTTGAAAACAGTAAGTTATTTCTAATTCTCCCTGCGATCTAAGAAGGATGGACCCCAATAGCATTCACTAAGCAGGCTTGGGGTGAAGACACACATTTGGAGGAGGTGGGTGGGGAGGGCTGGATATCAAGGAGGCAGGGCTGGAACTGAAGGCGTTTAGATGCCCTTAGGCAGGAAGGAACCAGAAGACATGGGGAAAGGGGAACCCAGAGCTGGTAGCTAAAGACCCAAGAAGACATAAGACACTGGATGGCCATGCGTTGTGACTAATGCCGCTGTTCTCTGTACAAAGAGACCTACACAGCCTCGAGTCTGGGGGCGCAGCTCATCTTGGTGAAATTGCAGAGAGGAACAGAGCCCCACCTCGGAGTTGACCCAGGGATGAAAGTAGATGCTACAGAGAGAACTGTGAGTGATGTCACGTCTGTGGAGGAGACCAAGCCCCGTGGCTCCTAGGAGGAGGCAGCAAGCACTGTCTGCATAGACTACTCAAGAGTTACTGCGAGAACCTTCTTAGATGTCTCTGAGGGACCCAGGGGCTCTGAAGGCATCATGGGGGAAGATCCAGGCCATTTCTCACCCCATTCAAGGCGAGAATTAGTGTTTCCAGTCTCATCCTCTTTAAAAGTTGACAACTCTGAACTCCATAGTGTCTATACCACTGATTTTCAAACCGCTCCAAAGAGATCTGTTTTGTACACTGGGCTTCTGCAGAGCAAGGATTCACCTGAAGAAGAACACAGTGCAGCTGACTCTGGCTCGAGCCCTCTAAGGAACCGAGGTGACGTCCTCCGCCCCTTGCCCTGGAGCTGGTGAATACTTGACAGACAGAGACAATGGGAAGTCACCCTATGCACTGGTGTTCCTTTCTCCCTGGATGCGCGTCTCCGCATTCCTCTTGCAGCCAGCAGGTGGCGCCCGCACCTCACCCTCCAGAAACACCCCAATTGCCTTTTTGATGGACACAGCCAAAGACCGCGGACTTCCTCAACCCTTAAAACTGCTCCTGCCCGCTCCTATACTCCCCAACAATATTTAAAAAAATAAAACAATTAACCTCCAATAAGAATAATCATTCCTTTGGTATGAGATTAGGAGAGATTCGTTCATTTCCTCTAAGAGCAAAAACGAACATTACTGATTGTAATCATGGATTCCCATGTCTGCCTTCACAGTGGGAGTTATTTGAGGGCAGAAGGGGACCTGGTCCTACTCCTGTATCTATGTCCAGCACAGTATCCCCTACTCCCAAAAAAGACTAACGCAGGGTTATTGAAGGAGAAGGTAAGTGGCATTTCAAAATTAAAGTGGTTTAGGCAATGACTAAGGGGAGCCAGGTGCCAGATAAACTGAACACGTGTGGGCAGCCCTCGTAAATAGCCACAGTGCTCAACTCCGCAGGCATGAAACAGACTTTTATTTGGGAGGAGCCAGGACCGCCTCCTCCCACTAATAGGGAACACCTGCCCCCCATGCTGACTCAGTTTCCAAGCCCAGCCCCTCCATCAGAGGCATCCCTGGAGACTGCCCCAGCTCTCTCTCCCCTCCAGGTCATTCTTTTTAAAACACAATTTCAAAACCACTGGACTAGAGAATCCTTCCGGCTCCTTCCAGTTCTGAAAAGCACTGAGCTGCAGATTTCCACGGGGAAGGACGAGATGGAAATTCAGAGTCCATGCTTCCACGGGGCAGGAAGTGGCTGGGGCTCCCCACTCCGGGGCCCCCCATTCCGGAGCCCCGTGGATGATGAGAAGGGCCTGAGGCCGTCAGGAGGTGAGACGCTAGCCCAGAGCCGGTCACACAAACTAATTTAGGGGCTATGCTTCTGAGCCCCAAGGCTGTTTGTTTATGGTTAGCTTTTATTGCCAGTAAGTGATGCTTTATTTCCATTAATGGAGGCAATATAAAGTTTTCTTCTAAAATGAGAGTTTAAAATGGTGGAAGATGAAATGGTGGTGGAGGCCAACAGACAGGTGCTTTGTGAGAAGGGCAAACATCGGGAAAGTGGCCTCCCGTCCCTGCTGTTTGGGGACCCCTGGCCGGGACACCCCCTCCCTCCCAAACCCCGGACGGAGAGATGGCCCGTTCGGGGCTATTTCCGGACAGTTAGTCTGTGTCTGCCACTTAGCCAGGACGGCAGAGGGAAACAATTCAGCCTTTGATCCAGCCACACCCTCTCCTCCCCTTGGGTAAGTGGTGTGTGCCTGAGCCTGGAGGGGGCAGATAAACAGGGACCAGAGTTCAGTCCTACTTTCTCTAGGGCACTGGAGAGGCAGGCGTCCGAGGCTCAGGCAGGCCCGGTCTGCCACCTGAGACATGGAAGGCCTCCTCTGGGTGTCCCTCCCTAACGTCCGGGCCCACAGCCGCCGCTGCCACCCTCGCGGGGAAAGGGCTGTGGCCAGGAAGGAGCATTACCGAACTTGGAGAAGAAGTAGCACTCGGGCATCCTGGTGAGGTCGTACTGGTGTAGGAACTTGCACTGGTCGCCCTTCTTGCACAACCCGCGCAGCCAATGCTTGCACACCACCGTCTGCTCCCCGTGGTCGTGCCGGAATGGGCACAGCTTCCCTGGGGACCAGAGCGCCAGCTAGGAGCTGCCTGCCCACCCCCAGCCTGGGCCTCAGGCCCCAGCTGCCCTCCTCTTGTCCCTTCCCCTGGACCCTGGTGGTGGCTAGAAGGGGGGGCCAGAGGCAACACGGAGGACCTGCTGCTGTCTGAACACAGGGCTGCCCTGCGTGGTGCCCGTCAAACCCCAGGAAGGCTCCAGGCTGTCGGGACACCCCTACGACTCCTTACAGCCCCCTCTCCTCCAGACTTACGGTCGGGCTTCCCAGAGCACAGAGCCGTGGTCTCCAGCCCTGGACCCCTCCCCCCCCAGCACGTCCCTATCACATAGTACTTGCTCATCAAGGGCCTTTGGAATTCATGTCTTAAAAAAAAAAAGAAGTTATGTTTCCTGATTCCAGAGACCTGACGTGATGATGACGCAAGGCCAACGCTAAGGATGAAGAAGAAAATGGAATGTGATATTTAACTCTTCATCATCTTCATCAACACACTGTTGCCACCAGCAGGAAGGACACTCCAGTTCCCACATTTCCAAGCGGGCCTGGTCTCATGCATCTGATAGAATTGCCTTAACCTCCACCCCTGACCATTGACTTGCTCGAATCTGACCTTCCACAAAAGCAGTTTTATTTCTTTGCAAGAGGATGTTACTGTGAAACATTGCCCTGGAGACGGGGCAGAGCTGAGGACACAGGACCCACAGAGGCGTCACTTGGTCCTGGCTCACAAAGCCTGCAGGGATCAGTGAACTTGGTTCCCTCCTCATCCCATAGTCCAGGCCTGGCCCGAAGCCAAAGAGGCACATGGCTAAAGGGCTCAGGTCCTCCTTGCCTGGGCCCGTCCTGCCTCCCAGCTTCCCTAGGACAGATCCACTTGGGTCACACTAGCAGGGGTTCATCACCTGAGCCTATGGGGCCTGGGAACCCCCACCTTGGAGGCACGACTTTTGGGGGCAGCTGTGGTCTGCGAGCCAGAAGAAAAGCTGGGCTCCTGTATTTGAGTTAAGCTCTTCGGGGAGACAGGCTTGGAAGAGGGTACTGCTTGATCCAAACCGGGGCAGGGGAGGGTGCTTGTTGGTAGCATTTCAAAGGCTGTGGCCGGAGCTACTCGGGGCATAGGGAAGGAATGGATGGAGCAGCTGGGTGGCCCCATACAGGTTCAGAGGACAAGAGTTGGGGAGGGATGAGACTCTCCTGGCTGGGAGGAAAATAAAGAAGTCAGCGTTCTCCTGGAGGACACAGGCTGGAACCGGCCGACACTGCCCCTCCCCCAGCAAGGCAGAAGGAAGGAACGCCTCCCTCCTTCCGGCGGCTCTGGCCACCCTGGTCAACGCTACTGAGTCAGGGAAATTCTGGTCGGGCCCACCCACTTGCCCATTGCCTACTTAGAAAATTAAAACTGCCCCGTCCTGAGTTCTCCTCCCCAAGTGAACACCCTATTCCAGCCCAAACTGAGCCCAGGGTGGCCCAGACATGACCCCCACCCAGGCCTACCAGCCAACCCACCTTTCTCACAGGGCCCTTTCGCGAAGAAGTTGCACACCGCTGAGCTGGACTCTAGAAGGGGAGAAGGGGAGAGGGGGCAGCTTCCCCAGGGGCCATTACCTCATAAGCAAGTCCCCGGGAACTGCCCCAAAGGCCCCCAAGTCCTGCCCTTGGATGTTGGTCTCTGGAACCAGCTCCAAACCTCAACACCTAAGCCCCCAAATCTGGCTCAGAGGCCGTGGAGGGGCCCAAGGCCAGCCTGGGCGCTGGGGGCCAGTGTGGTTTTCCCGATTTGCCCCAATCTGGAAAGTGGACACCCAGAGCCAGCCCTGTTTTTCTGGCATCTTGCACAGGATGTAGGAGGGGAGGCCGAGCTCCTGAGAGGAGAGGAGCTAGGCTGGGATCCAAGGCTACGGGCCCAAGCCCCCAGCTCAGTCCCCCAGAAGGATGCTGAGCAGAGAGGTCTGCAGGGCAGCTGGGGCGGGGGGATGGTGCAGGTCCCCAGAGGGGCGGCTGCCACCGTCCTCACTCACTGTCCATGCCCTGGAAAGGCAGGAGGCCAGTGCCCTTCTGCATCTCTACATCCTCCTCCAAGGTGAACGTGAACCTCTCCAGCCCCGCAATGACCTCGTCCATCTTCCCTCTCCTGCCGGGGCCGATGAAAGCTGCTTGAGCCCCTGCAGGTGGACCTTATAAGCTCTGGAGGCCCTAAAGGGTCAGGGTCCGCCTCCAGGAGCCAGGTGATGGCCAGGCTACCCTCAGGCCCAGCTGTACGGGACTGGGGCCCAGCTGTCTGCACCCTTGCGCATGCAGGTGCAGATGCCCCAGGGCCCCACCCCCCACAGTCAGTCAGTCCCATCCCAGTGCTCCTTGCTGGGGGGGAGGAGGGCACCCACATGCTGCTATCTCTGCTTGTTCCCAAACCCACACACAGCATCCGCACAGGCATCACCCGACCTGCTCATACTTTCAACATGAAGAAGCCCGGGTTAGCCGAGAAGTTGCACAAACAAACCACAGCCAGGCTGTTCTCTTTCGCAGGCGCCTGGGAGCCAGAGGGTGGGGGGCAGGGCGGGGGTGCAGAGGGACGGAGGCCCCCAGCCTCCCCCTTCCCTCCAGTGGGGCCCCAGCCAACCCCTCCCTCTGGGGCTCCTGACACCCCTTTCCTGGCCTGAGCGACAAGCCCGAGTGAGCCTTCCTTGGGAGAGAGGGACGCGGGGCTGCACTCGGATCGGAAGCGGCTGGATGAACGGCGCTTTGTTGATCTCGCCACAGCGCGCCGCGCAGCCGGCGGGGGTGGGGCCTCCCCGCTGCGGCCTCCCCGCCAGGATTCCGCTGGGCCACCCCAGAGCCTCCCCGCCCCTGAGAAAGTGCTTTGTGAACGAAATCTCTATGCAAATGTTGTTTTATTATTATTACGCCACCCCGCCCCCCTGGCCTGCAGACATCTGAAAATGCTTTCAAAGGGGCTTTGTGGGCTCTAACTAGGGCAGGCCCCCCCTCCCCCGGCTCCGGCCCCCTAACTGGCCTTCCCTCTCACTGGAGCTGGTGTTTTCTGAGTCACATCGGAGCCGGGCGATGCCCACAGAACCCAAATGCCCTCCTTCCCGGACCAGCAGGGAGAGGTGGGCCGTGCCCTGCAGGTCCGCAGCCCGGCCAACAAGAACGAGCCTGCTGGCTTCTGTCTCCCCAGGGCTGTGGCTTCTAGGTTTGTTGTTCTTTTGAACTCGGGATCAGAAAAGCAAACAGCTGGAGAGACACCTGGAGCCAGGCGAGGCCGGGAGGGGCGGGGGGATCCAAGAGTCACGGAGCGTGGGCTTCCCTCCAGCGCATTCCCAGGAAGGCAGAGGGCGAGCTGCGGGCCACGGCGGCGGGTCCCCGGGGCAGACGCCCTGTCTGTGCACATGCAGCTGCCGCACGCGCTCACTGAAGGCCCACAGCAGGCCGATGATGACACCAAGCCCAGCAGAGCCGAGGGCTCAGGGTTGGGAAGGTGATAACCGTGGAACTCAAGTCCGCGTCTCCTGATGATTTCCTTCTGGAAACATCCGAGGAACACCTCTGTACAGGGACCGGGGACCCCCAAACAAAAGACTGCGTTCACATTCCGGTTATACAAGGGGCTGAGTGGTGACTGTGATGATGGTGGGGGGGGCCACCAAGCAGGGCGGAGAGGGTTGGCAGGAGGGCTCTCAGGGGAGAGTCTGGTGACAAGGGGAGAGAACCTTCCAGGAGAGGGGCCAGCTGTACAAGGCACTGGCCATGAAGCTACATGGCAGGCTGAGGGGATGATGAGGGTTTGGTTTGGCAGAAGCGTGGGTTTAGGGAAGGAAGTGGTGGGTGACAAGACTGGAGGAGTAAGGAGGGCCTGAACCTGGAGTGTTTTAGGACTTGGTTTTGTTTTTAATTTTTTTTTTAATTGATTTTAGAGAGAGAGGAAGGGAGAGAGAGATAGAAACATCAATGAGAGAGAACATTGATTGGCCGCCTCCAGCATTCCCCCCACTGGGGATCAGGCCCACAACCTGGGCATGTGCCCTGACCAGGAATCAAACTGGCGACCTCCTGGTGCAGGGGTCGGCGCTCCACCACTGAGCTACACCGGCCGGGCTAGAACTTGTTTCTTATCACGAAAGTAGCTAGTGGAGGGCCTGGGAAACTAGGAGAGCAACACAGCCCCCTGGGGAGGCCTTGTGAGGGAAAGACGGGGCAGCAGGCTACTTAGGGGGTGGTAACTAATAACAGAGCCTTGGACATGGAGCCGGAGGTCCTTCCAGCCGCAGGTGGCCGAGTCCACCGCGAGGGCTGCGGGTGAAGAAGGTCCCAGCGGAGACTCTCCATCCCTCACCCCAGCGCCCCCTCCTCTTCTGCTCAAGGTCTCGCCCTCCAACGGGACTCCCCTCGCACCTCTGTGTGCCTGGCCAGCTGAGGGTGTGGGGAGGATGTGGCACAGATGGATGCCCTTCTGCCCGGCTGCACCCTAAGAGGGACAGCACCTGGCGTTCATGGCTCTTGCTTCCGCAGAGTGCCTTCTAGAGCGGGTTGAATTGTCCCCTCCTCCCCTCCAAAAGATAGTCCAAGGCCTAACCCCTGGTGTGAACGTGACCTTATTTGGCAACTGGGTCTTTGCAGATGTAATTAAGGATCTCACGGTGAGATCACCCTGGAATTAGGGTGAGTCCTCAACAAAAGGACGGGTGTTCTTTTGAGAAAAAAGAGGGAGATGCGAGACACAGATTCAGGAGGCCTAGAGAGGACCGCGTGGAGAGGGAGGGCACTGGGGCCAGCCAGGCACCGTGGGATGGGAAGGCAGGCCGGCCGTCACGGGAGGCAGCAGAAAGGCCTGGGCCCGCTTCTCCCTCCGAGGTTGCAGAAGGAGCCAACCCTGCCGACACTTCGATCCTGGATTTCTGTTGTAAGCCAGCACCATTGTGACAATTTGTTGCGGCAGCCCCAGGAACGGATACATCCTCCCACGTAGAAATGCAGTGTCAGAATACCTCACCCCGTTTACAGAGGAGCCAACAGAAGAAGTATAGAGAAGTTGAGTGACCTCCAAGGTCCCACAGCTAGTCGGTGTCCACTGGAAGTCTGACCTGGGTCTCCCACTTGCAAGGCCCTGTCTCACCAGACCAGGCAAGCTGGCCCCCATGTATATGACCACCTCGGGCTCCCAGGTGGACGGGCGATGCCCTGGAGAAGGGCTCTGGAGTCCCCTCTGGAACCTCACAGTCTGCTCTTCTGTGCTCTGGAGCTTAGCCCCAGCCAATGTTTGCATTGATTAATTAATTCAGGGCTGCAAAATGGACGCGTAAATCGCTATACAAATAGTCGTGTTAATTTTAATCACCATCATTATGAGGCTCTCATGTACCTCCAGCTGCAGATTTCCTGACTCACCACCCTGCTTGCGGGGGTGCGGGGGTGCGGGGAGTTCCAGAATTCTCGGCTGGCTGCCGGGAGCTGGCAGCAGTCACTGTGCCCAGCCCCTGGCTCTGATCAATCACCGCCAGTGCTTTTCTGGGCAGAAGGTGGCCACGCCCTCCTTTCTGGTGGCTGCGCATCTGCCTCACTCCCCATGCGGGCACCCTGAAAGGGTGCAGGCACCGGGCAGGCCAGGGTTCACATTCTAGGCCAGTCATTTAACCACCTCTCTGAGGCTCAGGTTCTGCCCAGACCCACAGCAGGACTCCTTGGGGGGCTGTCGGGAAGTGCGGAGGCACTAAGAAAGGGCGTGGCTGGTGCTCAAGACCCCAGGTGTCCTGCCACCCGGTCCACGACACCTCCCCTCCTTCGAGTGGATGATTCCTAAGGGCCCCGATAGAAGGAGCTGTGGGGCAGGGGGTTTATTCTGTTCAGGGGCCTCCCTAAGTCCACTAGGGATGGGCCTGGCAGCTGGGTAGCCCTGGTGTTGGAGGGGTGTGGTTAGGAGGATCCCCAGTAACCCACAGCTGCTGCTGCTCAGCCACAGGGACAATGGGCCAGTGTGCCCTGCCCTCTCCATCGCCCTTTGTGCCCCAGGGATGCCACTTGGTGGGGACAGCTGTCAGCCTCCCGATAGCCACTTGAAGTGCTGAGCAACGAGGTCCAGCGGCCGGGATGGTCCTGCTCTGTCTTTGCCTGGAGCTCAGTCTCTGGGAGTCGGTGCTTCTAGGAACTATACTCTGGAAAGGCCTCTCTCCCCAGGGGCGTGGGCACGGTGACAGGACCAGTGCGCCTCCCACGTTTCTCATCGGGGCCTCGTCCAGTGCTCACTGTAGCTATTCATTTTGCTTCTACCCATTTCACAGATATGGAAGCCAAGGCCCAGGGTGGTGAAGTGACCGCGTAATCTCACATAGGGACCTGGATGTTGGAACAGGGACCTGGAATCCCGACCTTTGCTATCAGTTACGAGGACTTAATTCCCTGTTAGACTGTATTCTCTCTAATTCCCACCCCGGAAAGACAGCTATTACTTCTCTCCTACAGTCGAGAAGACGGCTCAAAGGCTTCGCAAAGAGAGCACGCTCAGTGTGCATGACCCCAGAGCCGAGCTCCTCCAGCCTGCTGAGCTGCAGTGCAGGGGTGGGAGCGTGCAGAGAGAAGGGAAGGGTGGAGGAGGGTGTGGGGGTCCTGCAGGGTGCTGTCCTGAGAGGTGACAGGGCCTCTGAGTGGGCCTGTGGGTTGTACTTTGGGTCACAGAGTCCAGGAGACAGGGCATTTGGTGCTCAGGGAGCCAGGCCTGGCCCTGAGAGAGTCTTGATAGCTTTCCCCTCCTCTGCTGTCACAGCAAGTGCCCAGGCCTTCGGGTTGCCCTCCCCTCTTCTGCTTCTATGCCCAGAGCCCCTCGAGGTCAGCAGAGGCTGCCCCAAGCCTCCCGGAGCTCCTGCCCTGTGCCCTGAGGAAAAGCAGTCCTGTCACCAGCAGCCCAGGGGACACCGCAGGCCAGGACACATCAGCAAAAATGAGTTGGCAGAAGTTAGGTGGGATCAGCTCAGGTTACATGGCAGCTTCTTTCTACTTCTCCACTGTCCTTGCAGCTTCTATCATCCAGCTTCTGCCCCACCTAGCCTCTGGGGAGACGTCCGTCCGTCCATCCATCCATCCATCCACCCACCCACCCACTCGGTCGCTCAGAAATACTTGGAGCTTCT